GTCTGTTTCCTACACAGCAGCCAGAGTGGTCTTGTCAAAACCCAGATCAGACTGTATTTCCTGAATACCCTCCTATGACTACCAGTGACGAGTAGTGAGTGGTTTGAGTGGATTGCCACTGACTGGGTCTCAGCATCTACCGGAGCATCATAGCCTGCCACCCTGTATAGCAAATGCTAGAAAGCCAAGGTTTCTTTAAAAATTTTTTAATTGTTATATATTTAGGAAGCATGAGTGCATATTTCTTACACTTGCTATTCCTTTTGCCTGGAAAGCTCTGTATCCCGATATCTGTCCACAGGCTTGACTTCCTCATTTCCTTTAGGTCTCCTGTTAAATATCAGCTTTTTGGGGATGCTTTCCTGATGATGCTGCATAAAAATAGCAACTGCCCCGATATTCTCTTGCCCCTTTGTTCTCTTTCATGTTTCTGTGTAGCTCCTCTCGTCACTGGACAGTGTACTTGCCTGTCTATCTGCTTATTGTCAGTCCTTCTCCATTGAAATGCAAATTCCATGAAACTAGAGACTTTGTCACTGAAGTATAACCTGCCTGCAGAACAATGCCTGGCTCAGAGTAAGGCTTTAACAAATACTTGTTAAATGAGTAATATTTACTTATAATATTTACGGAAGATTTAGTCAGATAAAAAGCAAAAGGTTTTTACAACTTGTCAACCACTTACTATGAGGCAAGTACTATTTTCCATCTTACATGAGACAAAAGATCACAAACTCATTCCTGAATAAATGAACAGAACAGTGGGAGTCAGATAAGTCAATAGATAATTGTAATCTACTCATTCATTCAACCTTTATTTATTGAACATTAAATAGAAGAAAGCTAGAGTTTTCAAAGCTTTTCTATGTGCCAGGCATCAGGCAAAAGCATAATAAGGTTTGTTTAATATATCTTTCATAACAATCAAATAAGTAACTATTATCACTGATTTACAACCAAAAAACCTGAGGCTTTCCAAGGATATCCTGTTGTAGTCCAAGGCTGCCACACTACTGAAAAATAGAGACTATACCCTAGTTCTGTCTCACCCTATATCATTACGGTACTGAAAGAAACACAGAGAAAAACCACCTGATCATTAATGAGGTCAGAAAAGCCTTCTTAGTAGAAGCAACACCTACGGTAAACCTTCAAAAATAATATACTGAAGTTAGGCAAAGAAGGGAGAGCAAGTAAGGAATCCTGGCCTGAACAAATTACGTGTGAATTATTGTGCTATTGCAATTTCCATAAAGAGAGAAACACAGATCTTAGTACCTTTGTTTTTAATAATAAATTAGATCGAAATTTGACTGTCTGAACTTGTCACTAAAATGTAATACAAATGTAAATATACATACAGGACCCCACTATAAACAATGACAGAACAAGTTAATATGTGATATAACTCAATTATGCAATGCAAATAATCAGCATGAAGGAATTACATATAAACTCAAGATTGAGGAAGATCTAGCATTCCAGATTTTAACAAAAGAGATATGATTGCCTATAAACAACTTTTCCCATTTGTAGTATATAATTAAATAACTTATGTGGCAATTAAATTACATGCCAATTAAATAGAATTGCAAGTGCTAATATAACAAGTTAAAACAAGTGGAAGTTATTACTGAAGCACATCAATTGCTTTTTTTCTACTAAGTTGAATTGACATTTAAAAAATTAATACTGACCTATGTTATACACTTTCAGTATTTAGAATGTGAGTTTAAGAATTAGGCTGTTAAAAGTTTTAAAGGTAAAAAATTGAATAAGGTTAAGAGAACTAGATTCTTGTTTCACCCAAACAAAATAATAAAGATAAATAATTTTTAATAGATTGGTTTTACTTATTTTTTAATTCCATTTTTTTCTCTGGACCATCAAAAATAAGTTTTACTTTGAACACAGATGGCAGGTGCCCAGAGCTACACTTTGATTGCCCATAAAGGCAGTTTTTTCATACTTGATCCAAATGTCAAATGTCAAATTTCTACTTTACAGTTAATGTACAAACATGTATATATACACCTCTGTGTGTCCTTCTGTGATATGATTTAAATTTTAAATTATGTATACATACATATGTATATGTATATATGTACATATACATACACACACATTTATTACTTTTTTAAGTTCAGGGATATATGTGCAAATTTGTTACATAGGTAAACTTATGTCCTGCAGGTTTGTTGTACAGATTATTTCATTGTCCAGGTATTAAACCTCTTACCCATTAGTTATTTTGCCTGATCCTCTCCTTCCTCTCACCCTCCATCTTCTGATAGGCTCCAGTGAGTGTTGTTCCCCTCTATGTGTCCATGTGTTCTCATCTTTTAGCTCCCACTTATAAGGAAGAACATGTGGTATTTGGTTTTCTTATCTTATGTTAGTTTGCTAAGGATAATGGCCTCCAGCTCCATCCATGTCCCTGTAAAGGACACGATCTCATTCTTTTTTATGGATGCACAGTATTCTATGGTGTATATGTACCACATTTTCTTTATCCAGTCTATCACTGATGAGCATTTATGTTGATTCCACATTTTGCTATTGTGAATAGTGTTGCAGTAAACATATGTGTGCATGTGTCTATAAGAGAGTGATTTCTATTCCTTTGGGTATATACCCAGTAATGGGATTGCTGGGTCAAATGATATTTCTATCTTTAGGTCTTTGAGGAATCACCACACTGTCTTCCACAATGGTTGAACTAATCTACAATCTTACTGACACTGTATAAGCATTCTTTTCTCTCTACAACCTCATCAGCATCTGTTATCTTCTGACTTTTTAATAATAGTCATTCTGACTGGTGTGAAATGGTATCTCATTGTGGTTTTGCTTTGCATTTCTCTAATGGTAAGTGACATATTAGTCTTGAAAGAGAAAATTGCACAGGTAGGAAAACCTGACCTGTTATAACCTTTCACTCATCAAATATTTGAATGCCTTTGGTGTGCTAGATCTTATACCTCACCTCAAGTTTCTTAAGTTCTAGAGCAAAAAAGTTAAAATTAAGATGAAAATATTCATTCCTCCTGATCAGTAACTGCATGAGCTTCACACAGTCCATATTTTCGTCTGTTGTGTGGATTGTAGAATTCCCTTACCATCATGACTGGAGTGACATCATGAACCAGAGGCAGAAGAGTGCTGGGTTTGAAGGGCAAACGGGAGGGGGAGACAGAGCAGCACATGCTCCTTATAATTGGCTACATCAACCATCTATGAAGTGGTAAAAAAGCTGGAAGTTGGAGGCAGATTACAGGTTTCTTCCAGGGCTAGGCTTCAATTAGTGAATTTTGTAGGATGGTAATTCAAGATAACTGAGGGTACGTTAGTGACTAACATAAGCTTGGTTGGATGTGAGGGCTGCTGAGGGCCATTGAACTGAGATTGGCAATGAGAGAGCAAATAAAGAGAGGGACTGAATGAAGTCAAAGAGGAGGTAAAATTGAAATGAGGGAAAATGATCTAAGGTATTTTGTTATAACAGCCCAAATGGATTTTAATATCCACAGCATGTATTTCAGAGGCTAATATAAATGCCATCTGGTCTGAATGTTTGTGTGCCCCCAAAATTTACAGGTAGAAGCACCTAGTGCCAAGGTGATGGTACTAGGATGTGGGGTTAATGGGAGGTGATAGGTCATGAGTGCCCAGAGAACTAGCTCTTCCCTAACACCATGTGAGGACACAATGAGAAGGTACCATCCATGAACCCGAAAGCATGTCCTCACCAGATACTGAATCTACCGGACCTTTTTGTATTTCCCAGCCTCTAGAACAGTTAGGAATAAATTGCTGTTGTTTAGAAGCCACCCAGTCTAACATACTTTGTTATAGCAGCCCAAATGGATTTTAATGTCCACAACATGTATTTCAGAGGTTAATATAAATGCCATCTGGAAGCTCTGGAAGCTCTGCTTTGGAACCTGATTTCCTCCCTCTCTAATGAGTTTAGAAAGGTGTGCAACCTAATTGCTAGTCCTCACCACCTGGGGGTTAACAGGTAGGGCAAATGAGGCCATAGAAATAGAAGTAATGCAAACTGTATTATTTCAGTAACCCCAGTGCCTAGTTCAGGGCATATAGTTCTCTAAAAATAATCTCCAAGTATTTCTGGGGGTCCAGGGCTCTCTAGATCGAGTTTACTTTTCCTGGTCTTGCAGCTGCTAAGTCTTGCTCCTCTGCTTCTCCAATAACCTAAGTGCTGCTAGTTTTCCACTGTGCACTCAGTCTGGAAGGGGTTCTTGGCAGAGGGATAAATTAAGAATGACTACCAGTCTTCACTAACTAGGTACACAGTGTCTTTATACACTGAGATAGGAAATACAGGAAGTAGAACAGGTTTGTTATTGGGGAGAATTTGATTTGGAACATGTCAATTTTGAGAAGTTTATAAAACATCTGAGTAATAAGCAGTTGTCAGTCTAACATATGGACTTTAGGGCATAAAACAAGCTAGAGACAAAGGCTTGAGGGTCGCCAATACCAAGTGATATTGAGGCCTGGTTTACATGCCAGCCAGAGGGAATGTAGAGAGGGAAAACAAAAATCAGAAAGTAAAGCAACATTTAAAAAGTGAGTAGAAGAAGCGATGCTTACAAATAAAGCTGAGAAGGCCCAGGGGTACCAGGAGAATAATATTCTGGAATTCAGGATGGGAAACACATTGAGAGGTTTATATTTTAAGGAAGAAGATGAAGATATAAGATTCAGGGTCTGACTGATTAAAGAAAGTTCATGGAAAGGCCAGAGCAATGAGATTCAGAGAAATTGTGTTTAGTAAGAAGGGGGGCATCACTCCCAATGAAGCAGGAGACTGGAACAAAAGGATGCAAATAAATTTGTAAATGTGAATAGGATTATTTCCTTCATTGTAAAAAAAAAAATCCAGATAAATTGCCTACCATCGGGTAGAACAAAACTCTGGAAAGTAGTGTTCCTCATTTGGTTAGCTAGTAGGCTGACAATAAAGCAGCAAAGAATTCCAGCAATTGAAGAGTTTTCATTTATGTGGAAACGCAGTTTGATAGACATAAAAGAGAACATAATCTGAGACGCACTTAGAAGCTATAGTGATAGACCTATAAACAAGACTAAGTGAAACCAGCTAATAAACCCAAAGCTACTCTAGGATGAAAGAAACTGCAAGACATGTAAAAACTCAAATTACATGGATAAACTGTGAAACAGAATTGCAGTGTTAATTCCTAAGCAAAATATTTCACCAAATAATACATGGGTACAATTTTGTTAAAATGCATTTGTCACACATACTAAAAGAGCTTTGATTAGAGGTGATGCTTAAAATTGGATTTCAAATGTGATGCTACAATAAAAATAAACATCCAAAACCAATCAATAAGCCCAAGTTCATTTTGAGTTTCTTATTAGCCATGAGTTAAACTGATCCTTCATTTCTAGAAATGCAAACACAAAGTTTTCCTCCAAAAATAGATAGTTCCCATCGCCTGAAGAATGCTTTATCTTTTGAAAAGAAAATGGAACTTTTTTCAAAGGACAATTTATTATTTAAAAAAAAACTAAATTATTATGATCCACTTAGTTCAAATTCAATACAAACACACTATAATTTTTTTACTGAGCATGTTATAAGAATAAATTTTCTGCACATGTAAGAACTACAGTTGACCACTGAACAACATGGGTTAGAACTATATGCCTCCACTTATATGCAGATTTTGTTTTGTTCAACCAAATGCAGGTGTATTTGCAGGATGTGAAACCCATAAATATGGAGTGTTGGCTTTTAATGTATGCCGGTTCTACAGGGATGACTGTGGTTCTTGTGTATGTGAGGATTTTGGTATATTCAGAGGGTTCTGGATTCAATCCCTCATGTATACCAAGGGACAACTGTTAATCTGAATGTGCAGGCAGACAATTACAGAAGATTCAAAATTTTATATATATATATATATATATATATATTTAGAAATCTGGAGTTTATTTTTATTTTTGACATTAAGATTTAGATTAATATTTATTATTTAATAAATTATTCTTCCTAAATAGAATTTAGCTACTGATTTGTCAGAAACAACTTTTTATTAAAAATGATCAATTTGAATATGTTTGAAAAGTGTTGGGGAAAATATTTATAATCCCAGCACTAAGACAAATCATTTTGGTAACTATCTACTAGGTATATCTTGAAATGCACACACAAAAAGGATTATATGTTAGTAGAATTATACTACATATCTCCCATATCTGCTTTTCAAACTTATTAATAATACTGTTAATAGCATGCCTTAAACATTTTCCCATGTCTAGAACTATGGGTCTACTTTGTCATTATAATAGTTACATTGTATTGCACTGTATGGATGTATTGATTGGCATGTTAAATCATTCAATTGATGGAAATTTAAGTCGTTTCCAATATTTCACTATAATAATCAATGCTGCAACGAAAACAATTTTGGCACATCTTTCCATATATGTCTATCTTTTTAGGATAAATTTCTGTGGTAGAATTAATGGATCAAAGGAAATCCACATTTTAAAATTTAAAGACATTACTTACCTATTCTCCGGAACAAAAACAATTTTATACTCCTGCCAATAGTACATGAGTGTCATTTCCTCTGTTACTAGTGAGGTTGAACAACTCCTTTCATAAGTTCACTGGTTACATGTACTTAGTCTTGTATCCATTCATGTTCCTCTCTCCCCTTCCTGCTGAAATCTTTCCCTTCTGTACAGAGCACGATGTTAGCTTTCTGAAAGCCAGGGCAATGAAATTAATGTAAGTGTTTGACAGACCCTTTATTTATTTAGGGTTAAACTTAATTTAACCCAAAACTAGCTTCTTCAGTGAAGCTAAACAATGGGAGTTTTGGACAAGTTATATCTGTCATGGGGCAGTGATTGAGTTGTGGCTTTTTCCTGCCTACTCTGTACATAATTTGGTTCAATGAATCAAATGATTGACACTGATGTTAGAAATTCCCAATGGATTTTGGCACAAGGTATACTCTTCACTTTCTTCTACTACTGGAGTTTTGTGGGTATTTTTACATAAAGTTAGAAATGAATAAATCAGTGACTGCTATCTGTGGTTATATTTAGCACATTTAATGAACATCTGTATCACATAATGGTTTTGGGATGAGTATTAGACTCACTTTTAATGACATACACAGACTGTCTCCATGTATGACTTAGGAGTGGACACAGACCAAAGTGAACTTATGTCTCTTTCTATAACATTTTCTAAGCCCTTTCCTTGGATGTAGGAAATTCTCACAGTATGAGCCCTATGGATTAGTAAAATTGTCATATGACAATTTTTAAATGACATTTGGAAGCACTATACTAAAAAAAATGACAGTATTAGAAAGAAATGATTGAGCAGTGACCTGAGGTGTTTTTCTGTTTGTAAGATATGGTCGAGGAGGCTGAAAGAGGTAGGTCAAAGTGACCTGACAGGTTTTGCTGTTCCTGGTAACTGCGCAGAAAAAGAAAACTCTTTACACTATGAACTGGGGAAGCCCCTTGGCACATATGTAATTTCTTGACTCAATAAGCTAAGTTAAGGACATTATAAAATGCTAGGTTTTTTTTTTTCCTTTCAGAAGCATTCTATTTTTCACTTCTATGGTTAGAGCTACTATGGATGGAGACAGCTACCAAATACAACAAATGTATTAAATGTATGATTGTGAATCTCAAGCTACACTAAGTGCCCCTCCTCTGTGTCTGTCACCCTTGTGATGGTTAGTTTTGTGTCAACATAGTCATCATGTCCTACTTATGTGTTTATAAAAAATTATCAGTTGATTTTAAGGAGATGTCCCTCAATAATGCAGGTAGGCCTCATCCAATCAGCTGAAAGCCTTAAGAACAAAAAAACTAGGTTTCCCAGAAAAAGAATTCTTCAAGACTGGAACAATAGAAACTACTTGCATTTCCAGCCTGCTGGCCTGCCCTACAGATTTTAACTTGCCATTCCCCATAACTGCATGAGCAAATTCTCTTAAACACATCTCTTAATACACATACATCTTATTGTTTGTCTGGAGAACCCTGTCTGACACTCTCTTGTACTCTAAAATGTTTTACTTGGTTCTCATCCGTACCCAACTATGAGTTTAAGGTTAGGGACTCTGTCTTACATACCTCTGTATTCTCAAAATCCAGGAGGGTGCTTTCTCAGACTCTAGGTACTAAGTAAATACTTGTTGAACTAATGGATCAACAGAATAATCTATTAGAGAAGCCAGAGGTATAGTGAGCAAGGAAAGCCAAAGGCCTGGGAATTTAAATTTATGGTTTTATATCAATAGCCTAGAAAAAAGTCAGCTGAATTTGAATTTCCTAGTCATGTGACCTCTGGTATGTTGATTCACCTTTTTGGGCTCAGGGTGCTGACCAATTTGGTCTTGAACACATTATGTGACTCTAGGTCACCGAAGTCAAAGCAACCAGGAACAGAAATCCAAGACTGAGTGAAACAATGCTTGTTTACTATACAGGTTATTCTCTACTTTTCATCAGGAGCAGGCACTACTATGCAGTAGCCCTAAGGCCACAGGCACCACCCAAGTAGTGAATGCAGTTGGCTGAAAGTTGGGACAAGACTAGAACTACACAGATTTATGCAGAGAACATACCCAGTGCTACATATTCATAAATATGGTATTAATACATACAGTTTGGCTTGTTTTGCCTTCAAGATTAACTGAACTGTATCAATGTATTGTGAAATGTTGTCATCTGTATGCTTTGACTCTTTCTATAGAAGAGGCAAAGGTACAAACAGATTAAACTGACTTTTGCAGAATAATTAGTCTTTTACCTTGTGGCATGGAAAGGAATCCTCCATTTTAGGATGCAAATAAAATGCTAGCCTATATTGGTGACATTGCTTTAACCCTTTTTTTTCAGTGTTATTTTACAGGACAGTTAACCTATAAAAGAAATAGTGGATAAAGTTGGAAAATGCTAATAGCAAAAACACTTCAGCCATGGCACATACAGCCAGAAGCCAACATTATCCTTCAACTATAAAAATTAGCTGTGTTTTCTGTTTATTATTGAGGCAGAATTCCATGTTCAAGCCAGAAATTGTCATTCAATAGGACAAATCAGGTCAAAACAATCAACCACATCATGTAAGAAGACAAAAGGATGTGCTCATGTGAAGAAAAACAGAAACAACAAGCAGCCAAACTTTTTCTTTTCCTGAACATAGTATTGATGGCAAGCCTGCTAAGAAGTCATCACTGCATTTAATTCAGATAAAGGCTTCCAGCAAAGAGCACTGTTAAGAAGTGACTGTGAGGAGCTATGCAGAAGTGATAAGAAGCAAATACCATAAAAACTAGAAAGCAAGTTTTAATTTTCCATAGATTTTATTACACATTATGTTATGAGACAAATGCAGATCATTAATTTATCAAATTTGTGATAAAATTTGATAAATTTTCAACAAAAATATATGACCCTCACCACACAAACAGATAACCTAAATCTACTCTGAAAATCTAATCAATTGAGAAGTATTACCTATTTGGAGGCTATGTATTATAGCAGAGATAAAGCTCCTGTTCTCACAGAACATATGGAGTCATTGGCAGCTAGCCAACAATGAAGTGACTATTCTAATATTTGAGAAAATCCTGAGAAAACTAATGAATTATCCTGGACATTCTTTATTCTTGCCTTTACAAAAGATTTATAGATCCAAGAAAGATTAGTTTAGAAGAGAGGTTTTTTAGTCCAAAAAAATCTTCAAAGTCCAATACAGTCATGGCTAATCAGAGACTAGAGAACCTTTAGAAAGGTAAGTAGGATTGAAAACCCTTGGAAACTGAGCAGTCTTATTGTGAACTAGCATGTTTTAATCAAAGGTATGGAATTAATCAAGCATCATTTAAGAATTACTGGAATGCATCCTCATGCCAAATGACCACTAACATGCTATTTGCTACTGTGATGACTCCTTGATTTGAGACAGATGGCATAAAAAATATTGCTAGCTATACAATGAATTCTACTCTTCTGCTTCTGCTCTCCAAATAAAAATCTTATTTTTTCACATAAGAAACTCACTGAATTGAATGTTAATTAAAGAAAAGATAGGGTAAGTCCAACTGGGGGAAAGACAATACCTCTAATTACATAGGAAATCCATGAAATAATTAATCATCATAAGAGAAGAATCATTTTTCCAGTAGCCCCACTGCCATGAATGATATTTTCATGAGCCTGAGCCACCTTCTCCAGTGGATACTGAGAACCTATTACAGGTTTCAACCAACCAATTTCCATTCCAGCTTGAAGGGCTGCTGCATATTGCTGAAATTCCTCCTAAGAAAAAGAAAAACAAATTAATTTTGGACCATATGATTTAATTTTCAGAAGATTAGAAAAACTTCAGGATCTAAGAGTTATACCATAACAAGTCTCTTAAAAATGTGTGACTTTTGTCAACTTGTCCAAAATTATAGAAAAAGTAGTTATTTACAGGGTAACCATGAGTCCCATCTGCCTGGGACAGTGTTTGTGTACAAAATACCTATTGTCCTGAAATAATTATTAGTATCACATTTCTCTCTCAAAAGATAATAAATGATCTTGTCACCCTAGCTGTCCCTCTGGTGACTAATCCTTACCTACTCCCTCTAGTCATATAACTAAGTTTAACATCTACTTAAACTTTCAGTTTGCCTATTCAGGTGTGTACCGGTGTGTAAGTTACCAAAATCGGAAGTACTTCTTTTCCTACCTTGGTTATGGCAAAGAGAGTAACTCCAATTATACTCGACTCCTTTATCATGATGTCCCGTGGGTTTATTTCAATAGTACCTCTGTTGCCAACAACCTAATATGAAAAGCAGCAAGTCTACAGTTAAGATTACTGCAAAATAGTGTTAAATTTTGGTAAAACATTAAAGTGGTAATAAAAAAAAAGAATACTTACTATCACTCGTCCTCCTTGCGACAGAAGACTCAAATCTTTACTAAGATTTACATTAGCTAACATTTCAATAATTACATCAATTCCTTTCTCACCAACATATGTCTACATAATAAAAGAGAAATGTAGAGTAAGACAAGTGAAAAACTGTAAAATAGCTACTATCTGTATAACATATTATAGAAATATGTTTCAAATGATATATAAATGTTACATCTTTGAGACCAACAATGTAATTTTCAAATAATTTAGTTATATAATTATGATATAATTCCAAGTTACCAGCCAGAACATCTAAAATGATAAATATTTGTACGAAATACATTGCTGTAATGAAATAAAACTTGCCTGGAATTTTCAGGTGCTAGACTCAATTTGAGTATAAAATACCTTTCCTTAGCTGAAAATTTTCTATCTTTAAAATGAACTTTCATAAAGAAACAAAAAATAAAAAGTCCCAAAACTGCAGGGGCCTCCCATTTTTATTAAAAAACAAAAACAAAAGAAAATATCATTAGCTGTTTGGTTTTGCATGATTTTTGTTGTTTTGGAGAATTTGGTTTTGTTCTAATCTGTTTGACACACTAATTCTTTTCCTTTGACATCTTGGATGTTGGATGCTGGCTCTTACAAAAAGCTACATATTTCTACATTAAATTCATTTTATTTTAACACACACACAAAAATGAATCCCTATGCCAGGGATTATACTAGGTACCAGGATTGCAAAGACAAACATAGGGAGCGCAAAACAAAACTAGTGAGAAAGGTGAGAATACTACAGTCATAACTATAATTTAATGGACTAAGTAACACATTTGCAGAAATAAACCATAGATTACAGAGAAAAAAGGTTAAAATTTGATTGCCTGCCACGGTCAGAGAACATTTCACAGAGATGATGACCTGGGCCCTGAGGGATGAATAGGAGTTTCCTAAGCCAAAAGAAAGGAAGATGAGCAAGGGGAAGCTAGACCTGAGGCCAACTCAGTCTGGGCCAAATAAACAGAAAAGCAAAGATGGAGAGGACTGAGAACACAAGGACTGAAATACAAGCAAGGCTGAGATGTGTAATCAGGTAAGGAGTAGTGGCAGGGAGAGAAAAAGGTAGGAGAGAGGAGATTGCAAGTTGGGACAGATAGTAAAAACACAGTGAATGCCATGTGAAAAGATTTGGATTTTTTTTAAAACAGGTATTCATTACTGCATGTGCAAGTACAGAGAAACAAAAATCCTCTCCTCATAGAGCTTCCATTTTAGTTATTTCTGTAGATTTTTTAAAAGAGGGAGACCACGGCAAAGATAAAAAGGGTTATCAGCTCAGTTATGAATAAGTCAAGGCTGGAGAAACTGAGGCCTAAACTAAGTTACTGTGGTGAGTGGAACAGAGATAAGGAAATACATTTGAGAGGCACATCAGAGATGAAACTGATACAATGAGGTGACCAACTTGTTGGGTGGGAGGGAGAAAGATAATTAAGAGACAAGGAAAATAAATCAAGTGAGGGTTTCTGTCTTGGGTCACCAGATGACTAGCAATGCCTAGCAGGTTGATGGCATGAAGGAACTAAACTCAGGACAAAGACAGTTCTGGAAATCAACAGCATATGGGTAGTAAGGAAGCCACAGGAGTATGTGAGACTGATGAGGACGAAAGTCTAGCACCACGGAAGATGAGAGACCAAGTGACAACAACCGAAGGAACATGAGTATTAAATAATATGAAGAGGAGGGAGATTGAAAGTGAAAAGTCAGGAAAGTAAGAAGAGAACCTGTTTCAAGGAAAAGCAGTCAGGGTCATATGCTCCTGAAAAATCAAACAGGATGAGGCCTGAGAGAAGACCAGCAGACAGTTAGTTAGGAGCTTCTCAGGGAAGCAGTATAAAAACTTGGGCTATAAGCAAAACTACAGTGAGAAGTGGTTGAAGGTAAAGAAGTAAAAGCAATAAATCCTACATTTTCAAGAAGTTTTGTGGGAAAGAGAAGGACAGAAAGGGGTTGAGATAAAGGTTAAGAGAATTTTTTGAAAATGGGAGACACTTAAGCAGGAGTCAGTGGAAGCCCCTAAGACCTCATCGTCCTAAAATTAGATTATTGTTAAACAAAATCATACTCTTATAATAATGGGCCATTTTTCATCTTTGTGAATATTCTTGGATAATGGTATCAGCAGTGAGTGCTAGATCTTAGGTTCAGACTTATAACAAAGAAGTAAGTGCTTTTGCTCAGCTTTTTAGCAAGATGATTGCCATTAAGGTAATAAACTCTCACTCCCATTTTTTCCTTCATTTGTAATGATCTAGTCTACACGGTACTCAATATTTGGGAAATTCTAATCGCCCTAACATGAGGAAGTGGTTGAGGATTAGTAATGCAATAAGTGTTTAGCAAATTGCTGCTACAGTACAAGTGGAGAAATTCAGAATCTGCTTGAATTGTTAAATGCAGCAACTAACTAAATGCCACCCCACCACTTTGGATACAGTAGTGATTATTCCTCCAAAGCATCCAAGTAACAAATGAACTTTATTCCCTGGGCCACACAGATCCAGTTTGTAATCTATGGATATCTCACTTTCCATGGAGAATTCACATCAAGCTGCAAATACAAAGCTGCAGCTTTACTTAAAACGTTATTTGCATTAAAAATCAATTTTTATTGCTCTAAGATTCTAGAGAAGCTATATTCTATTTAATACACATAAACAATACAAAAATGACAGTGAAGGTTTAAAAATTAGACATCTCTGCTTTTTAAATAAAGTTTTAAAACACTCGTAAAAATATATCTGAGCAGTGAATAAAGGAAGCAAACGACTTTAAGAGAGTAGTTGGCTAAAAATGCATTAAAAATCAGGTAAGTCTCCAAGAAACAAAGTTTGACTTTCATAAAACAGTAAAAAATTTTACCTTAATTTTATCAATATAATTAACTTCTCTGTGATTGAACACTTCATGGGCTCCATTTTGCAGAACAACCTTTTGTCCTTCCTCAGTACCAGCAGTGCCCAAAACCTTTAAGCCGTAAGCTCTAGCAATTTGGCAGGCTGCTAATCCAACCTGAAAAACAAATATAACCCAATAGTTACATATTCTCTATATTCCTGCAAACTCTTATTAAATACATACAATGAACTTAAGATTCCTATAGGACTTATCCTAACTTTAAGCAACTTAAGAGTGTAAATGAAGCAATAAGTAAAGAAGAAATAAGAAAAACAGCTCTCAGTTAAGAATATTTAAAATATTCTAGGTACCTTACTAAATACTTTCTATATACCGCTTTATTTTATCCTCACAATGACCCTATAAAGTAGATACTATTATTGTCCCTATTCTACAGATAAGAAAGTTGAAGCTTCAAATTATAAGTAACTTGGACAAGTCACATACAGAGACGGAAATAGGAGCTAGACCAGTCTGATTGCAGAACCTGAGTTTTTAACCACTGCATCAAGATGTTTGTAGGATTTAAAGATAATGAGCAGTTCATGCTCTCTGACTTCTCTGTGCATACGAGATTCTAAATAACAAATTTAAGGCCTCTACCATTTAAGTGAAAGAGACAGGTATATGGGCAAATTAACTAATTCATCCATATGGTGAATGTTTATTGAGTGTTTACACTGTACGAGATGTGGTACATAATGTAAGAAAGAAACTTACATTCTAAGGGTAGAGGAAGATAATAGTCATATGAACAAATGAATGAATAAAATAAATTCAGGAATAAAAGTGCTAAGAAAAAATAAAATTGGCTGTTGGGTTAGAGGGATAAGAAAAGGGACTATTTACATCATCAGAAAGGGCCACTCTGAAAAAATGAGACCCGAAAAAAAGTGAGGAACAAGCCACAAGAACATCCGGTCAGCCACGTGGAGGATGCTATGGGCACAGTGAATGGCCATGGTAACCTGGGGAAGTGGGAATGCAGTTAGGGTCAAAGAACAGAAAGAGGGGCAGCGTGCCTCAGGGAGGGGGCTTGTGGGAAAGAGTGGAAGATGAGGCCAGTAAAGGTGAGTCACACAGGATCTGAGGGGTGAAGGTAGAGGCTTCCAAGTATATTAAAAACTGCAGAACCACTGCAGAGCTTAAACCAGGAAATGATCTGGTTGACTCAGGCTTTAAAAAGGTCGCTCCAGTTACATGTGAGGCACAAAGAAGGTGGCGAGGAAAATGGAGGGGGAGGATCAGTTTGTAGCTGTTAGAACAGTCTAGATAAGATATGAAGCTGGCTTGAGCAAAGGGGGTAGCACTGGAAAAAAATAAAAACAAATGGGACTTCCTCACAGATTCATGTCGGAGATGAGGAAAAGAGAAAAATATAGGATGTCTCCTATGTCTTTGGCCAGATTAACTGCATAGAGTAACTGAGGGGAAAACCGGACAGCAGTAAGTTTGTGAAAATCTCCAGATTTCACTTTGCCAAGAATGGGGGTACACGTCTGTAATCCCAGCTGTGTGGGAGGTTGAGACGGGAGGATCCCTTGGGCCCAGGAGTTTGAGTTTGCAGTGACCACACCACTGTACTCCAACCAGGGAAACAGAGCAAGACCCTGTCTCTAAAAAATAAACACAAAAGAATCACTTAGAACAGGCTGAGCTGCACAGTGCTCATCTACTAAAAGGTGAAGACATTCAGCAGTCAGTTGAATATGAGTATGGGCTCAAAAGCGTCCAGTTGAAGATATACATTAGAGATTTGTTATCTTACAGATGGTATTTAGAGCCAAAGGATTAGGTGGAACATGGTGGTTCATGCCTATAATCCTAGCACTTTGGGAGGCTGAGGTAGGTGAATCACCTGGGGTCAGAAGTTGGAGACGAGCCGGGGCAACCTGGCGAAATTCCATCTCTATTAAAAATACAAAAATTAGCCAGGCAGGGTGGCATGCACCTGTAATCCCAGTTACACAGGAGGCTGAGGCAGGAGAATCGCTTAAGTCAGGGAGGTGGAGGTTGCAGTGAGCCAAAATCATACCACTGCACTGCAGCCTGGGTGAGTACAGGCTCTGCCTCAAAAAAAAGAAAACAGTCACAGGATTGTAAGAAATCAATAGAATACCAAATAAATGTGCTTAGTATAAAGGAGAAATCAAAGTAATTTAAGAATATAGACAAAAGAGCAATTATTTAAATAACAATACTAGGAAATATGTTTGATTAGATGACAAATGTTGGTACAAATAAGAGTCACAAACATTTAGAGCAGAGTTTCCCAAACTTGGCACTATTGACATTTTGGGCTAGATAATTCTTTGATGTGGGAGAGTATCCCTTGTGTTGAAGGATATCTACCCTCTAGATGCCAGAACCCCTTCCCCAAGTTGTAACAACAAAATATGTCTTCAGATATTACCAAATGTCCCAGGATGGAAGGAGAAATGTTGCAAAATCACCTGCTACTCATAACCAGTGATTTACAGGTAGGACTGGGTTGGGCAAGAAAAGAATCACGATGAAAAATAATGATAGAAACTTTGTAACAGACTCCCAGGCCTGAAATGGACTGTAAAGATTTTGGTCCATGGTAATAAGGAGGCTGAACTCAGCCAGGTTACAGCAGGAATTTGGTTCAACTGAAATAAAAAAACACATGGAACTCACTGTCTGACAGAAGAGAGACATCCAATTAGATAAAACACAATCTACTATGGGGTGGGCACAATTGATTTTCAACTTTAATTTTCAAATTTAAATAAAAGATCTCTAATAACACCAACCTTTAAAATGCTAATGTAAATAGATCTCCTTGGGTTCTAACTGCTTTAAAAGGGCACTCAATTTAAAGGCATTCTAATTCTAATCTTGTCAACAATTCTAACAGCTATACTCCTTCGACAGATTATACACCATTATGTGTCAACTATTTTTCTTCTACTTACTTTGCTTACACTAAAGTAGGGCACTCCCCACCAACACGTGGATAATAGCTGTGTTCATAAATTCCATACCATTTTAAACACACAACATAATCCCACAGGAATTTGAATTAAATGAGGACAGAAACTACAAACAGAAGCAAGGCAAAACCCAGTACTGTTTCCCTCTGATAGGACAGGGAGGATCAGAAGCGCTTCACACACCAGGTCGCCAGCCTATCCCTGCCAGCCAAGGATTTAACAAACTCAGCCAGCTCAGAGAACAGTGTGGATTTTACCTTAAAAAAAAAAAAAAAAAATCATGGTGAAGCAACTGGGCTTTTTACAAGAGGGTAAAGGGAATATAAAGAGATTTTCTTTAAACTCTTCTCTCCCCTTCCTACAGAAATCTTTCCCTTCTGTACAGAGCACAAGGTTAGCTCTCTGAAAGCCAGGGCAATTTAAATAAATGTATGTGTTTGACAGACCCTTTAGTTATTTAGGATTACATTTAATTTAACCAAAAAATAGCTTCTTCAGTGAAGTTAAATAATGGGAGTTTTGGACAAGGTACGTCTGTCATATTTTCTCAAGCCCCATAAAGACAATCCTGGTGTTTTTTAATAAATTGTCTGATCTGTGAAATCCCTTTGAATGATCTATTTGAAGTGTAGTAAGCTAGGTGTGAAACCTCGTGATTCATCTACCTAAAGAAACAGAGTGACAAAAAGGACTGAAACTACCTGGCCACTTTTAAAGGTAAATTCACATTTTCAGGATACCACTCATTGTTCAGGGGACAATGTGCCATTTAATAGGTTACTTCTTTCAATCTACTCTCCAGAATACACAGCGCTCTGAAAGGGTTAACCAGCTTCCCCAAAGCAAGCATCTAGCCCCAGGCTTTTTATTTTTAAAATTCAAAATCTTATCTCCAAAATTTCCAAAGCATCCACTGATAGAGTTGATGTGGATTTCTTGTTAAATTCTAACTGCAGAGCTCTCTCTAACTCTTCCCTCTAAGCTCCTGAGAGGCAGATTGGCAGCTAGTTTCTTGAAGAGGCTTCTGACAGCCCTGTGTTGGGTGATTTCACTGAAGGGCTTATTTTATTATAAGTTCTGAGTCCTCCTCCCGAATTCCCCCACATTAGCATTTTCAGCCGTGGGTTGTGGTGTTAAGGACAGGGCTGTATACAGTGCACTCCCTGAATGTCATCAAAGCGCAGCAGGCAAGCAGAGGAAGGGAGATAGAAAGGACTAAGAATTCACAGTGTGGCTTTAACGCGCTGTCTGGGCAACACAGGTAAGCTTTAATGAGCCTTAGTTTCCTTATCTAAGAGAATATGGAATTAATATCAACCTTCAAAACCTGTTTAAAATTCTAAATAAATATTCTTATAACATGCTACTTGAAGGCAAAAACAAGGCGAGTTTATCTTAGTCCACACCCAATACGGGTGGAAAATCTAATATATTTTTGATGGGGTCCTCTGTTGAATTTATTAACCAAGAAATGCTAAACTCATGAAAAAGCATCACCTTCATAAGACCAAAATCAAAAAAGTTTTACTACATAAAGAAAAAAAGCAGCTTTAACTGTATTTATAAATCTGGCTTTTAAAAATGACCAAAGGAACTATAATGTGAAACCCACAAACCCAAGCTTGTTTAAAAATACATTAAAAAAAAATACTTACTCCTCCACTCGCCCCGTGAACTAGAACACTTTCTCCAGCTTTCACACGGGCACTGCAAGAGAAAGCATAAGTCATATCTCCTTATGTTCTGAAGCTAATTAATCTCAGGTGTTTTCATCATCTTTAAGGAATTTCTACTTTCAGTCTGGCTAACACTGACACAAAGAGCAAATGCAACCTGATATATAGCCCCAAATATTCCCTAAGCGCCACAGAATAAACAAAGCCCTCAATTTATTTATTCCTTTAATAAATATTCATTGGGAGTCTTTATGTGCCAGGCACGATGCTGGACACTAGAATCACTACGTGGTGCTACTTCTGAGTCGCTACAGTCCTTGTGGGTCATGAAGTGAAACTGCGGAGCCTAGAGGATCTGGAATCTCTCATTCCCATTTATTCCCACAGAAAGGGCCTCAAAGCAGGTTTATTATAGCTCAGTCTTTATTCTGTGGACTAGAGTAATGCCCAAGTAACACAATAGCTAGGCTACTTTTTGCCCGGGGAAAAAAAGTATTTTTCTTCTTCTTCTTCATGTTTTCAAACTCCCATTTCAGAAAGCAATGCTGAGTCGGCAAAGGTCAGAGAGTAGGAAATGTAATAAATCCTATCACAAAGATTCCCTTGTCGTCCCCTAAAATGTCCAGAGCCTCTAGTGAAATGGCATATTCTTTCTACTTCTGGTTCACATGACTACTTTTCTAGTACATACTGAAAAGATGGAGCATGCAGCAAGGAATGAGGGGATGCTTCACTATTCCACATGGAAAGTGCCAATGTCAAAAGCCAGCAGATGCTATGAGATCTGGATCTGATTCTCAGGGTAGATCTCTTACGTCCTAGAACAATGTGGGGTGGTCACACTGCAGAGACATTAAGGAACTTTATGCTCCATCTGGGAATGAGAACACAGTAACTGGAGTCCTGCTCCCAGCTGTGCCCAACAGCTGAGAAGTGGCAACAACGAGCAGTAAGTGAAACTTTCTCCCACACTCTTGCTTGGAGCTAAGGGGACTGAAGACAATAAGTTAAACTGAAGGTTTGAATAATAAATCGAGAGAACTGTTACCAAGAAACTAACACGTTAAAAGTAAAATATAAACGTAAGGGGATAGGATGACTAATGTTAAGCTATGGTATATATAATACTTTCCAATGAAATTTTTAAAAAATTATTATAAGATGCCCCTCAAACACTAAAGACACATTCTCATAAATCCCTGGGCCTGGGGTGAGAGGAGAAAAAGCAAGCAAATCCCCGGCGGAATCCTTACGCAGAGTCGCTGTGACAGTGAATTTTATGTGTCAACTTGACTGGGCCAAGGAACCCAATAGTTGTTCCAACATTACTCTGAATGTTTCTGTAACAGGGTTTTTTTCTTTTTATGAGATTGACACTGTAATAGCTGGATTTTTCGTAAAGCAGATGACCTTCTAGAAATGTGAGTGGGCTTCATCCAATCAGTTGAAGGCCTTTGTTCTCAAAGACTGACCTCCAGTGAACAAGAGGAAATTCAGCCAGCAAACTTTGTATGGACTTAAATTGCAACTCTTCCTTGGGTCTCCAGCTCGCTGGCCCACTCCAGCAAATTTTAGACTCACCAGTCAGTTGCAATTTCGTGAGCCAACTCTTTAAAATAAATCAGTCAGTGAGTGTGTGTGTGTGTGTGTGTGTGTACAGACTGATTCTGAGACAGGCAGACAGACAGACACACATCCTGCTGTTTGTTTCTCTGGAGAACCCTGACAAATACAGTCATTCTCCCTGGTGCTCACAGCACTCAGCCTGGCCTTCCATGCTGCTATCCCCTACCATCTACTAGTCACTGAAGACTCTTAAGACCTGGCACATAGGCTTTCTCTTCCACCTCAAATCCTGCTCCATTTAGGAGATTCAGCATTCCTCAGAAAGAAAATCAAGCACCACAGTTCCTGAATTTTCCTCCACGTTAGCCACTCTCTCCCAGGGCTATAAACACCAGCCACCATTCTACCTGAGAAACATCAGATGCCAATGACCAATACTATGACAGCAATCTATCCTAATTCTGAAAACCCATATTCTCTCAAAACCTTTCTTCAACTATGCAGAGATCACTGACTCTCCACAGCTCTGTGTCTGCCCACGTGCTGCTCCTGGCCTTCCTTCTGTCCCTACTCGGCCTGGGGCCCACAGAAGACTGCCCAATCTCCTCTCCCTCGCCTTCTGTGCTCTCATTTCCTTTATGCCATTCCATTTTGCCACCAATATTCCAGCCCTGAATTAATGTTCAAATCTAACTTCCTTGATACTTTATCCAAATGGCTATTACAGAAAAAAAAAATCACATGACCATGCATTTTGGTGCCACTTCAGCTCTGATTCTTAAAAGACCACTTTGCCTCCTACTTAATTGTGAAAAGTGAGGCAATCACAGATAAGTGCCTTTAACACTCCACCTCCCCACTCAAATGTTTCCATAAGTATGTCATCTTTACCCCTTCTAGGTTTTATGAATGAGCTGTTCTGTCCGTACTGGAAGCCAATCTCTCTACCTAGGTCCTAAGTCCTTTCCATCTTACCTTATGCGAATCTTGCTCCATCTGTAAATATGTTCAAGTCTTGTCTATCCTTTAAAAAAATCCTTTTTTTCCACAAACTCTCCTCAAGCAACCTTCAATTCTCTCTTCCTTGTCTCCTCCATTTTTAAAAGAATAGTCTCCATTCAAGGAATTATTTCCTCTTCCTTCCTGCCTCAATCCACTCAGTTAAGCTCTTCCCACCATTCTATTGAAAAGAAGCTGACTAAAGTCACCATGACCTCTTCATTGTTGAGCCCAACGGTTACATTTCTCTGAACAGACCTCTGTGTTGCATTTGACAGCTGGCCAAACTCCTTAGTAGCAGTATCAACTGCCACTCCTAAGGCTGCCGCAGTGATTGTGTATTTACCCTGTGCCAGCCCTGTACTAAGAACTTTATACACATTACCTCCAAGTAATTCTTACCACACTCTAGCAGGCAGGTGCTGTTATTACCTATGTTTCTCAAGTCAATAAACTGCACCTGAGATGGTTAAGTAGCTTAAGGTCACACAACTAGTACCGTGTGAAGACACTAACCCAGGCCTTGCTGTCTTCAAAGCCCATGCATTTACTGGATGCTTACGGGATACCATGACCTCTAGATTCTGCCAGCCATGGAATCCTTTTTCTCTGACTACATTCTTAAATGGTGATGTTCACGAGGGTTCTGTTTTCACTCCAGTGTTCTCACTTCCTGAGGGATTTCAACCACTTTTCATCTTGTCAGTTCTTACCTACAGGCTGATATCCCCAAATTTTTATCCCCAGTCTTCAAGCTTCAGACTTTTTTATTCAACAGGCTACCAAACTTCTCCATTAGGATGTGTCTCTCACAATTTCAAATCCAAAACTGAAAACAGCTTCCCTTTCAAACTTTCTCCTTTTTTTGTCACAGTTAAACAAGACCCAAGCTAGAAAGCTAGACTACTCTTAAGCTCTTCCTGTCCCTCATTCTCTACCTGCATATAATCACCAAATACCCCTGATTTTACCACCACTAAATAGTTATTCTTCCCTTTCTACTTACTTCTTCCACCATAACCCTTGCTCTGGCCCATAAGGATTTTGTCTAGTGGAGACTCCTATAAGATACTCCTATCTCTCTCTCTCCACTCCTATCCTCAAATCCATCCTACACACAGCAGATACATGATCTCAATAAAAACCAAACATGACAATAACAGTCTCCTGAATAAAGCATTGCATTAATTCCAATCCCTTACAGAACAAGGGACGAACTTTATAACCTATCTTTTACCATCTGATTTCTATCTCCTTGATGACAGCTTACATTTATTGAGAGATTACTCTGTTCCAACTTTATTCTTCACTACTCTTTCGCTTGAAATCTCCTAACAAAATCAAGTTTCTATAGCTGTTACCATACACCATACTGTTTCTCCCCATACTGTTCCTATTGTCTAGAATGTCCTCTCTCCTTCCAGCTACGCTTGCTCAGGTGAATTCACTCCAATGCTTTTCAAATGCTTAGTAGATGAGATTAAAATATAGATTCTAAGGCACCAGCCATGGCAACTAACCAGAGGGTCTGGGGTAGAGCCCTAAAGTATACTATTAAATTGCTGCCTAGATGATTCTAATGGATAACAAGATTTTGAACAATGGCTTTAAAATAGTCTAAGTCTCACACCTTGCCAGGAAGGCCTACCTCATCACCACAGGCACATGCCTTCTGAGCCCATACATCCCTATGTACATGTCCACCACTGTAGCTTCCACATTATACATACACATAACCATTCTTATGTCATTTCCCTTACTAGACTATGGGCATCTTGAAGACAGTGTTTGCTCTACTTTGTATCTTCAGAGATTAGCACAATCCCCCAAATTCATACTTTCCATTCTATAAATGTTTCATGACAAGAACTGGTAACCAAAAATGATGAACAGATAGATGCACAGATAGCTAGAAGGAAAGCAGTTAACACTGCCCTCTTTTGGCACCGGTTATAAAATTGACAGCATGTGTTATTACCTGTGGATCAGAGCTCGATAAGCAGTAAAATATGGGATACCGATGGCGGCTCCTTGTTTAAAGTCCAGTTTTTCAGGCAGTTTGTAAACAGTATGGTCTGCTGCAAGAGCATACTCTGCATAGCCTCCAGAGATCGTGCTGCTAGTGAAAACTCTGTCACCTTTCTAGGGGAAGACAAAAATGAATAAATGCAGGAGGACTAAAAAATTCTGTCAAAATAGATATAATCCTTTACAGCAAGAAATAAGTACTTATATATTGTTCTCCCTATATAGGGTCTCATATAAATAATTTTAAAATACTGAACATTTAAAATGTTTATTAGTGGGAATGAATGGGAAGAAAATCTAAGGAAAATAGAAAAACATAAGAAAAGGAAGGAGAAACTTCCTTGAATGGCATTATGATGGTATTGACGGCTCAGCTCCATAAAGAGCTTGCTATGTCAGGCACTGCATTCAGTGAATCTGGAGTGTTAACGAATTTCATCTTCACAACAGCCAGTGAGGTGGGCATGCTTATTATCTAAAGCAATCTCCGCTACACAGATGAGGAAACTGAGGTACAAAGAAGTTCAGTAATTTCCTCAGATCAAGCAGTTAGTAAATGGCAGCCAACATAAACTGTTATTTTTGTCCAAAATACTAGGAGAAGAAACAAATAAAATGTGAATTTTCTTCTGCACACCAAACACCTATTCTAAATCTTGTCCCTGAGCTTCCTCACCCCAGCATTGCCATTACTCCTCATGCAAAACACCCAAAGGCAGAAAACCATGCTAGGACCCCGATAGCAGGATGAGCCAGGACAGGCTTCTTCACTTGTCACGGCACCAGAAACACAGTGAAGTCTCAACAAATGTCTGTTGGACCTCACTGTTAAAAAGCAGCTGGGTGACTGAGGTTGATGTAATGCCCTAGCCAGGCATTATCGGTCCAGTGTATGATTTGCACACTAGGGAAAATTAGGCTGCCTACTTCAACTACCTGCCTTAACTCCTCCTTCTTAATATTCCTTAGAATAGGCAAATTATTAAGGCAATGACTTTAGTCAATTAAAGTGTACTAAAGTACACTTTATTTTACTGAAATCGGAAAAGGCAGAAAAGCTATCTGATAGAATGAAGACAAAAAAAGATTCAAAAGGCATCCAAGAGTCAAAGACAAGTACCACCACTTAATGTGGTTGCCTAGAAATGTCAAATATGATGAAGTGAATATTAATACTGTTTTTACAGCTTAAAAAGCTTGTTGAATTGATTTCAATATAATTCAAACACTTACTGAGAACATACTACATAGAAAGCATTATTTCAAGTTATGTGAGGGACCGCAATACCCCTGTCCCTAACCTCAAGCATCCTAGACTCTAAGAGGAGAGAAAAGAAAAGTGCAGAAAAAAATTATAAAGCAAGGCAAACGTGATGAACCACTGAAGATAGGTAGAAGAAAAAGAAATTACTTCTAAGTAGAGGAAATTAGGAATAGCTTTATCGAGAAACTAATAATTGAGGGAAGTCTTGAAGAACAGGATAAGATTTTGAAAACTAGAGCAAGGAAGAGTCATTTTGAGTGAAGGAAACAAAATTGGCAAAAAGATAGGGACAGCAATAAATGCCAAGAAATTAGCAGCATTTACTACCAATGAGTAAGAAGATGAATGTGTGGTATGTAACCGTTTCAGGGGATAAAATGAAAAGAAATTGAAGCTAAAGTGTAAAATCCTTTGAATCCATGTTTAAAAGTTTCAGTTTGGCCAGGCGCGGCGGCTCACGCCTGTAATCCCAGCACTTTGGGAGGCCAACGCGGGTGGATCACGAGGTCAAGAGATCGAGACCATCCTTGGTCAACATAGTGAAACCCTGTCTCTACTAAAAATACAAAAAATTAGCTGGGCATGGTGGCGCGTGCCTGTAATCCCAGCTACTCAGGCGGCTGAGGCAGGAGAATTGCCTGAATCCAGGAGGCAGAGGTTGTGGTGAGCCGAGATGGCGCCATTGCACTCCAGCCTGGGTAACAAGAGTGAAACTCTGTCTCAAAAAAAAAAAAAAGTTTCAATTTAATTATGTCAAGTAGAAGAACCAATATGAACAAAAACACAAGGATGAAAGGCCTGGGATGTGCAGGGAAGGACAAAGAGTTCATTATTGAAGAATAAACCACACTGTGAGGAGGAGTGGGAGGTAAGAATGTTAACATAGATGGGAGAAGAGAGCATGAAGCAATCTTACTTCACAGCAACCAGGAATTTTACCAGTCTCTCTGAAGTCTACAAGACATGGATGCAAGAATGAAAAGGGAGGTGTAAAACAATCAGAATCAAATTCTATAAAACGATTCATTCTAGAGTAAGGATGAATTTCAGGGAAAAAGAGGAAGTTAAGTGTCTATTATATAAATCCAGGTCAGGGGTGTAGTTAAGTAGGTAAGAGAGCCTGAACTAAACTACAGGCAGTGGAAATGGAAAGGAGAGAGAAAACAGTTCCAATAAGGTAAAGCGAGGAGTAAGCCTCAAACCCCAGAAGTCACCAAGACAGTCACACAAGAGAGGCGCTATTGGCAGTGAGAAAAGATAAACTCGGTTTCAGACACATTTTGTGAGACATTTCTGGAGTGTGACCATGTGAGTCCAGTGTCTCCAACAGAACTCTCTGTAAAGATAGAAATGTTCACATCTGCACTGTCCAGCAGGGTGGCCACTGGACAGGAGGCTTTTATTAAGCATTTGAAATGTTGCTAGAGTGACTCAGGAACTGAATTTTCAATATAAATTTAAGTTGAATTTTAAACTGCCACATGTGGCTAGTGGCTACTGTTTTGGACAGCACAGATCCAGGACTTAGCAGAAAACTCTATGCTAAAGATGTAACATGATAATGGCAACGAAGGGAGTGTATGAGATTATGGAAAAGGTACTGAATACAGAAAGTAGAGTTTTAAATAGGGACTGAGAGCCCCAGGAAACACTAAGATTTGAGAAATATCCAGAAAAACGAGAGGCCTCAAAATGGAGGCCCAGATAGGAAGGGTAGAGGAGAACAGGAGAAAATAATGTCACACAAGCTGCAGGCAAACAGTTGTTTTGAAGAAAAAGTTAAGTGGCTGTGAGTGTCAAATGTCACAGAAAAGTCAAGAAAGACAATGACATAAAAGGGCCCATTAACTCCAGCAACACAGAGGCCATTAGTGACATTAGCAAGAATCCTTTCAGTGGAGCTATGAGGGCAGAAGCCAAGCTGTCACAGGCTAAGGAGTGAAAAGCTGAATGAATTTGCCAGTCTTCCTGTGAGGGACACCATAATCTTCTCCATCACCCTCATTTTGGTAGGGTGCTACTAAAGTTGAGAAGATCAAGGAATTATGAGGAAAGATGCTAGGACATGAGTCTACTATGAATATGTCTTTTGATATATATATAGATCTGGATCATAGCATTTTCATTGGCTGAGTCAGAGCTCCAAAACTGTATAGTGACCTTGAATTTTTTTCACGTTTTACTTATTTTTCAGAAAAATTAACTTGCCCTTTATGAAGCTAAATTTATAAAGGGAATTAAAAATTATGTTAGTTTTTATATCATCAAAAGTTAGGAAGTAGTCTCACTTCCTTGTTTGTTTTCTTTCCGTACATATTTCAATTAAATTAAAAAAAATCACAGTTCATTCTGTGGGGACATGAAGATCCAGAAATTACCCAGCACCTATTTACAACAATGTAAACAAATAAGGCCTCTGGATAAAATGTAATTTCTTTTTTGACTAAAGGAGTCCCCCAAGTGGCAGAAATTGTGTAATGGGGCCTTTTAAAACCTTAAATAGAATGCATTTGAAAGTTATGTTCAAGTATTTTAAGAAAATAAATTAAGCCAAAATAGAAATAATTAAAAATGCAATACCTTGAAAGCAGATGCATTATCTCCAACTGCTTCTATCACCCCAGCCACATCTGAGCCAGGAGTATAGGGTAAGAGTGGTTTTCTACTATAAGTACCAGAGCGAATGTATGTTTCCACAGGATTGACACCACATGCATGGACCTTGATTAGAACCTGCAATGACAATGTGTTTTAGTTCACAGAAAGAATTTAGGCATTCATTCAGCCTTATGCAAGGACTGTGCTGATTATAGAAGCTATGAAATGGGAGAAAACAAAACAAAACAAATAAGTGCTTGCCTTCAACGAACTCACATTCCAGTTTTACAAGCTAACTTAAATTGACATGACAGAATGGCTTATGTACTGTATTAAAAACATTCTGGGGAAAATTGTGAAAGAAATATTTAAGGGAATATGAGGCAGAGACCTCTGCGTGTTCATCAAACTCGTTTTCTCCTTTTCCTGGGTACACAGTAAGAGCAGTGCTTCTTTGCTTCCCTCATGGTTATGAGTAGCCAAGTGACTGAGTTTTAGCCAATGGAATGTTAGCAAAAGTGATAGCAGACACATGCAGGCCTGACCCATTAAAACTTCCTAGCCAAGTCACACTGTGCTCTTCCTCTTTCCATGGTGATCCTGGAAGAGAGAGGTTGTGACAGAGCCACTTGAAAGAAGAAGCTGAGTCCCTAAGTCACTTCTGGTGAACAGATACACACCCACATTTGAGAACTTTTAAATTTAGTGTATGAGACATAATTATCTGTGGCTGAACCATTGCATTTTTAGGTTACAGCAATTGTAGGAGCTAATTTTACCTTAATTAACACAGAATGATTACCTCTGGTATAAGTGTAAGGGAAGGCTTCATAAAGGAAGTAGTATTTGAGTTAGGGTTTAAAAGATAAGGAGAAATTCTTTAGAAATGATAGGAAAAGGATATTTCAGTTAAAAAATTACATGTGCAAAGACAGGAATGAAAGGGTGTCTTAGAGAAACTGGACAAAATCTAATGTTGTTACAGCACCGTTTCTCTATGGAGAGGGAGTGATGAGAAATAAACTTGTAAAGATAGGTTAGAGCCAAATTGTAAAACCTCTCATAGGTTTGCTAAGAAAACTGGACTTGGGACCCTTGGAGGGTGTAGTAATAAAAATACATAATTTTAAATCAACAGTATATTGTTAAAGTCATTGGAGAGAATTAAACTGTATACTTAAATTCTCACGAATCACAACACATGAAAAAGCATGAATGCAAAAGAAAATTGTTTCCCCAGCATGCACAAAATAAAAATCATGAATGTTTGTAAGAGAATAACTTATTCAAAACTCCTTATGTGTCCGTAAAAAATCCAATTATTGCACTACATAGATCACTCCATATATCAAAAATTTTCTTATAACCAGAGGTTATTCCTTTTCATACATCTACTTCACTAATTATCAGATTTATGTTCACTTTATCAACATCCATATGTATCTGTTGTATGAATTCCATCCTAATTCCATGTCTTTAAAAATCATTGTGAGTCTGCTTCTTTTGAGTACTATGTGCAAGAGACTCACACTCAGTGTAATTATGGCCTCAATAAAGTAACTTTATTTCTACCTGATTGTCTTTAGGAATCGGTACTGCAACATTCAACTGCAGTTTCAGTACTTCTGGTCCACCAAATTCAAAAACTCTAACTGCTCTCATCAACTTCTGTCTGGTTGCCATGGTGATCTAGATATTAAGAAAGAAAAGAATTAATGTATTGTCATATTGTATCTAGTATATCACCATGTTTGTACCCCCTGGAGGGAACACATCAAACAATTTTTTCAAATAACAATTTAAATCATGAACTTACCACTGATCTCATTTCATGTTTAAGGACCTTTCATCTTACAAATCCCTCAACTACAAAGCAAAATACTTCATGCTACTTCCTATAGGGATTCAGTCACAAAGGACTCAAACATGCAAACAAAAACATCTGGATAGACATAGCATGATACATATTTAGGTTTTCTTTTGTGTAAGCTTGGGTTGCAATATCTTAGAAATTTTATGAGTTTAGTTTTATTAACATTAGGTAAACTGACCTCCTTTTCAAACATTTACCTGACACCCAGTGTATTGGTTAATTTTCATACTGCTAGGAAGAAGTACTCAAGACTGGATAATTTATAAAGGAAACAGGTTTAATGGACTCACAGTTCCACATGGCTAGAGAAGTCTCACAATCACGGCTGAAGGCAAGGAGAAGCAATGGTATGTCTTATATGGTGGCAGACAAGAGGGCATATGCAGGGGCATTTCCCCTTTAAAAAACTATCAGATCTTGTGAGACTTATTCACTATCACTAGAATACCATGAGGACTCCCTTCCCCCATGACTCAAGTACTTCCCACCCAGTACCTCCCATGACACATGGTAACTATGGGAGCTATAATTCAAGATGAGATTTGGGTGGGAACGTAGCCACACCATATCATTCCACCCCTGGACCCTCTCAAATCTCATGTCCTCGCATTTCAAAACGAATCATGCCTTCCCAACAGTCCCCCAAAATCTTAACTCATTTTGGCATGAACTCAAAAGTTCACAGTCCAAAGTCTCATTGGAGACAAGGCAAGTCCCTTCGGCCTATCAGCCTGTAAAATCAAAAGCAAGTTAGTTACTTCCTAGATACAATGGGGTCACAGGCAATGGGTAAATACAGCCTTTCCAAATGGAAGAAATTGATCAAAACAAAGGGGCAACAGGTCCCATGCAAGTCTGAAATCCAGCAGGGCAGTCAAATCTTAAAGCTACAAAATGATCTCTTTTGACTCCATGTCTCACATCAGGTCACTCTGATAAAAGAGGTGGATTCCCATGGTCTTGGGCAGCTCTGCCCCTGTGGCTTTGCAGGATAAAGCCTCCCTGCTTGCTGCTTTCATGGGCTGGCATTGAGTGTCTGCAGCCTTTCCAGGAACACAGTGCAAGCTGTCTGTGCTTCTACCATTCTGGGTTCTGGAGGACAGTGGTCCTCTTCTCACAGCTACACTAGGCAGTGCCCCAGTAGGAACTCCACGCAAGGGCTCCCAGCCCACATTTCCTTTCCACACTGTCCTAATAGAGGTTTTCCATGAGGGCTCTGTCCCTGTAGCATACCTCTAACTGGACATCCAGGCATTTCCCCACATCCTCTGAAATCTAGGTGGATATTCCCAAACCTCAATTCTTGCCTTCCGTGCACTAGCAGGCCCAATACTACATGTACTCCTCAGAGGCTTGGGGCCTGCACCCTCTGAAACAATGGCCTGATCTGTATGTTGGCCCTTTTTAGCCAAGGCTGGCATGCAGGATACCAAGTCCCTAGGCTGCACACAGCATGGGGTCCCTGGGCCTGGCCCAGCTAACCATTTTTTCCTCCTAGGCCTCTGGGCCTGTGATGGGAGAGACTGCCACAAAGGTCTCTGACATGCCCTGGAGACATTTTCCCCATTCCATTATCTTGGTGATTAACATTTGGCTCCTCCTTACTTAGGTAAGTTTCTGCAGCTGGCTTGAATTTCACCTCAGAAAATAGGTTTATCTTTTCTACTGCATCTTCAGGCTGCAAACTTTCTGAACTTTTATGCTCTGATTTCCTTTTAAACATAACTTCCAATTCCAAACCATATCTTTATGAATATATGAGACTAAATGCTTTTACCAATGCGTGAGTCATCTCTTGAATGCTTTGCCGCTTAGAATTTCTTCTGCCAGATACCCTAAATCATCTCTCTCAACTTCAAAGTTCCACAGATGTCTAGGGCAGGGGCAAAATGGCACCAGTCTCTTTGCTATAACATAACAAGAGTCACCTTTGCTCCAGTTCCTAACAAGTCATCTCCATCTGAGACCGCCTCAGCCTAGACTTTATTGTCTCTATCACTATCAGCATTTTGGTCAAAGCCATTCAACAAGTCTCTAGGAAGTGCCAAACTTTCCCACATCTTCCTGTCTTCTGTACCATCCAAACTGTTCCAACTTTTGCTTGTTACCCAGTTCTGAAGTCACTTCCACATTTCTGGGTATCTTTACCACATTACCCCACTCTAACGGTACCAATTTACTGTATTTGTTCATTTTCATACTGTTATGAAGAAATATCTGAGACTGGGTACAATTTATAAAGGAAAGAGGTTTAATGGATTCACAGTTCCACATGGCTAAGGAGACCTCACAATCATGGCAGAAGGCAAAGGAGAAACAAAGACACAACTTACATGGCGGCAGACAAGAGAGTGCATGCAGAGGAACTCCCTTTTACAAAACCATCAGATCTCATGAGATTTATTCACTCTCATGAGAATAGCATGAAACACCTGCTCCATGACTGAATTACCTCCCCCAGGTCGCTCCCACGACACATGAGAATTATGGGAGCTACAATTCAAGATGAGGTTGGGTGGGGACACAGCCAAACCATATTATCCAGCTTTAACAAACCTTAGCATTTTAAAAACCTAAAGCATTATAGATATAATCGAAGACTAGTGTACTAATAACCAAACCTGCCTCTGGCCCTTTAGTTACCTTTCAAGAGGTAACTATAACCACAAATTCAGTGCTCATCATTCCCAAGCATTTAATACCACTTCTACATGTGTATGGAATATTAAATAATATGTGTTATTGTTTTACATGTTTTCAAACTTTATATCATTTAAGAAATATAAAAATCTCAAAAACTTAATGCTGAAAGAAAAAAGCAAATTTGGATTTGAAAATGAATTCTACAATTTGCTTTTTCCTTTCAGCATTAAGTTTTTGAGATTTATCAATGTTGAAACACTTGGCTTTATGTAGTTCATTCATTTTAACAAAAGGGGAAAAACATCAAAAACTAAAAACAATGCACCATATGCAATCTTTTGTAAATTACAAGTAGCATGTCTAACCTTTCTGTCCTACCACTGTTAATGTCAAATGAAATGAAAACTCAGAGTTAATATAAACTATAAAAAGGCAAATGACATTTGTACAGAAAATTATATGATCTTAGAAAACCTTCTGTACCTGTAAACATGTAATGAAAGGGTTTTGACTATATCTCCATAACTTTATCTGTGGGTTATCGTAATTTCTTGAAATCAACCAAATAGTATTAGATTCTGCCATCACCTAAAACATCTTCCTCAACCACAAAAAGTTTAAACATTAAAAAGAGTTGCAGAAACCAGGACCTGACATGAAAGAATTCAGATATTTACTGTACCAGAACTTCACACAGGACTACTCAGAATAGAGCCCATATTGGCTATAAAATGTCATTCCACATTTCCACATACAGCAATTGGGGGCAGGGGGTGGAATCAAAAGTATTTTAGTAGTGTTATTGATGTAAAATTCCTGATATAATTAATCAAAAGTTTGTGCCATTTTAAAACCCTTAAAATGATTTAACACAGTGTCTAGCATAAAGGAGAAAGTGACATTTCCAAAGGTTGTTTAGCAATAACATATCCTGAAGGGTGGTCCTCAGGGAAAAAAAGAGGCAGAAGCAGGCAGACGGCATAAAGACTGCACTTTAGAACAGCTTGGCAGTCTCTGACCAGGAGGTGATCTGTCAGAGGGCAGGGCTGGGAAAAAACAGCCCAGTCCTACCCAGCAATCCCACCACTGTACTTCCATTCTGGTCTCCACTCAAGCCGAGAATTTCTTAGAGAAGAAAGTGAAAGCATCAAAAAAATAAAAAAGGAAAAGATTGCCCAGATCAGAGTTTTCCATGGTGGATATAAGAACATAGAGGTTTTTGTTTTGTTTTCTTTTTTGTTTGTTTGTTTTTGGTTTGTTTTCCACACGGTGTTATGGAAAGAGCAGGTTTTGGAATATGCAGCTCTAGGTGTGAGTCCCAGCTCTATCATGTAAGAGCCACATGGTCTTAGACAAGGCAGTCAACCTTTTGAGTCTCAGTTTCCTCATCTGAAATTTAGGCTCCCACTCAGAGTTACATGCTAGAGACATGGCAAGCACCAAGTACAGAACTTAGTAAACATGGCTCTTGTATATACTAGACATCATTATTTTTCCCTCTATTGTTCTTTTCCATTTCTGAATCCTAAGGATTGCCTAAGCCTCAGAGATCGAAGCCAGACTGGGCAACAGGGTGAAATGCCATCTCTACAAAAATTTAAAAAAAAAATTAGCTGGGCCTGGTGGTAAGCACCAGTGGTCCCAGCTACTTAGGAGGCTGAGGTGGCAGGATCATTTGAGCCCAGGAAGTTGGGGCTGCAGTGAGCCATGATTGTGCCACTGCACCACTCCAGCCTGGGTGACGAGTGAGACCCTGTCTCAAAAAAATAATAAAAATAAAAAATAAAAAGGCAGAATAGAGAAATCACTAAAATGTTATAGTTCTATAATCATCTTTAATTTACTATAACGATATTTACAGGACTCAGTCAAAACAAGCTCTTTTTCTCAAAGAATTCAGTCTAGAAGATGACTTAAACAAAACATTAATACCAAACATTGATTGTTACCCAATGTGTATTCTTCTGAACCTTAAATGTACATAAAGCAGTGTGTTAAACTCAAAGAACACAAAGAGCAAGGAGAAAATGTCCCACGCTGCCCCACCTTCTGTAAGCTGAGTGCTCTCTCTCTTATACCTACACACATACCCTATGATGAGCTTGCTCTTTTTTCATTTTCAATATCTACCCTCTTCCTACCTATGTATTTCTTTCAAACACTCATATCTCACGACTACCATAAAAAAACTATTTAATAATAAAAGTAAAATTACTCTGAAAAAGGACCTGTATCTCCCCACATCCCCACATTTTGGCATTGGCTAAGTTGAGAGAAAGGAATAAAGGAAGGAGACTTACCCTTTCTACTGGATTTGGAAGACTCACCTGCCTTGCCCAGTACTATACTGCCACATTAGCCTATTAGGCTTGTAAAGTGATGCGGTATGGCCTCACCACACTATCTCCTACTTTGCTTCTGCTGATCTTATTTCACACTGAGCCTCCAGCATTCTGATGGATCAGGCTCCAACCTGCACTCGTTGCCTTTGAGCTCACCTATCCATGGGATCATCATATGCTTCATAATGATGAAGGATGTCAGACAAGATTATAAAAAGAATAAAAGAATGTGGCATACTAATAGTAAATAGGATAACACTTAAACTCCTGTGATACCTCATTTCTTCTAAAAAGCATAAGTCTTCCACCTCCACTGATATAACTATTTTCACAACAGGTAGAGAAGTTATTTAAACTATTATTTTACGCAGAAGTAAAAATAAAATCACCATCCATTTTATGGATGAGGAAATATCTCAAGAGGTTAAGAGACTTGGCAAGAGTCACATAGAAAGAAGCAAAGCTAGAATCCAAGTCCTACTATACTTAAATGGTGTTAGCTGACTTTTTTTTTAACTTTATTTACAATCCTTTTCATCTCACCCTTTGAAATATTGGCATATAAGTCCCTTTACTTCGTAAACTTTATAATAGTAATAGTGAGACAGACTGAGCTAGAAAATGTGAAATCAAACTAACCTGCAGGTAGAATCACATATTTTATGACTAAGGCATCCTTAGAGTTTGAAATTTCTCAAATGCCCACTAAGTCAGGGAATGCTGCCGAAATACAAAGTACATGATTCTATTTTTTAAAATTAATTTAAAAAGTAACTCCCTAGCATTGGAGCCTTGTGGACAGGACAGGCCTTTCCATTGCGTGTGTTTTTGTAATTAAACCATGCTTCAAACAGGTCTTCCTATTTATCAAATAAAATGTTTTTAAAACTTAGAGTACCTTGGTTTAATTTTTGGTTATACTTTTTACCTCTGAAAGGTTGCCAATAGGCCTTACGCATCTAGGAAATAGGAAATCCAGAATCCTTCCTCCAACGGTGATCTTTTCCTCGCTATGCTTGTATCCATTCGATAAAGGAATTGGGAAAACATTAATATATTTTAACATAGGATGAACAGATTAACTCACAAAGCCAGAGCAAAGGAACATTATGAGACAAAAGCAAAAGTAAAATTAAATAAGAAATTTGGCAAGAATTTTTAAAATTGAAAACTCAGAAAAAGAAAAAAATTGAGAACTTTGAAAAATAATCATTGTAAAATGTTCTGCTGCTAATAAGAAATGACTCATGTGAGCATATGGTTTATTATTCTTAACCCAGAAATATAAAAAAGGCAAGAATTACAAGTGGTCAGAGAAAGTCTCTGTTTGGCTGTGTGATCTTGTCAGGTCACTTCTGCTCATTTGTGATAAGACGGGGTATGAAGAGGGGAGGAGTTTAGGAGCTGATTCCGGACCCCTCCAGCTTCCATGATCTTATGGAACAGGGCAGTCTGTTCCCTAGTAGAGTAGAGCTCGGAGAGATTTGCTGCTGAACTCTGCGCTAACCAGACACGGAGTCACAGTGGCTTCAGTGGGACTCTTACACCAATTTCCATTAGCTATGGACAAGCATTCCAAACTTCAGCCTTTAAACGGTTTAATCATTGACACACCTTCCCTGGTCACAGTCTCCTCTAGAAACTCAGTATAAACATCCAACGATGTGTTAATAGAGTGTTTCGTAATTTTGTTTTGAAGATTATTCTAGGTGGGGGGGCCTCACAGGTCAATATAACCATACATTTGTCTCCGAAAGTAGACTGCAATCCTGTTGGGAAAGCTGGAGGAAGATCGGGTGGAGAGCTCTGGGAAACCTGTAATTGTGGGAACCCAGGTGAAAAAAATCCCCTACAACTGAGCTGTGGGAAGGGGTCTGGGCAGACTGCCGGGCGCTGCTGCAGGAATCCCCAAACCCAGGCACAGGCTACAGGAAAAATCAAGTAGGTGACTGGAGGAGGGTGCAGCGTGACATTGGGGCGGGGGGGAACTGGGCAGGGGTAGTGCCAATTGACGCTTCTTGGTGTAGTAACCTAAACTCAGAGCCTAAACGCATGACCAGGGCTAGGAGCCCAGGACCAGGAAACAAAACGCCCTGCGTGATTTATGGACGGGAACTTGCAGCCCCTGGAGAGGAATGGCTTCGATCTGGAGCTCTTTATGCACTAGTTCTCGGCGAGGACAGAGGGCAGGAAAGGAGTGCAGCTAGAATCCTCGGTTCCACTTGGACGAGCAGTGGGGAGATTCGCTGACTGAACAACTAAGGAGACTTTTTAAAACCACTTACCAGAATCTAGAGTGGGAATTAAAATCTGCGAGGGCTTCTTCAGATTCCACAGGAGGTCTTCCACATCTCCAACTTTTGCAGGCTCCGCCTAGAGCATGCTCCACCCCCAGGCGAAGGCCCGAGACGCTCCCAAATTCAGAACGTCGAGGAAGTTTGAACCTTTCCGGCCACCGCTCGCTTCAATATGGCTGCCTCCAGGGAGAGATGAGTCTACCGTGAAGCTGAGCGCGGACCCTGAGTCCTTCACACATGGATCGCATCGCGGAGTTCAGGAAATGGAAGGTGCAATGTTTAAGCAAAGCGGACCTCAGCCGGAAGGGCAGTGTGGACGAGGATGTGGTAGAGCTTGTGCAGTTTCTGAACATGCGAGATCAATTTTTTACCACCAGCTCCTGCGCTGGCCGCATTCTCCTCCTTGACGGGGTGAGGCTCCTTTGCGCCTGTCCAGCGCCGGCCTTCTAGTGCGAAACTTTAGGAGCCCTGTGTGCCCACCCACTGACCACCCGATCCAGCCTGTCTGTTTGTTCCTCTGCGGGGTAGTCTCTGTTTCTTTATTTGGGAAATTTAGGGGATTAGATCAGTGCTTCTAAAAGTTTAAAGTGGCTATTAATCAGTTAAGGATCTTTTAAAATACAGATACCGATTCTTTAGATGTAGGGTAGGGCCTGATACTGTGCATTTCTAGCAAGTGCCCAAAAGATGTTGAAACTACTGACCTGGGAACTATCTTGTATGGCAAGGGTTAGAAAACTTGATTTTATTTTATGTATACTAAGAAAATGTAAAGACTTTGTAGCCTGTCAAGGTATTGAATGCGGGAATCCGCTCATCAATAGCTCTGGCAAATCATTGTTACTGCTTGAACATCACCAGGGCTTGAACATCACCAGGGTTAAGGAGTTCACTGCCTCCTAGTGAGCCCCTTCATTATTACAACTCTTATTACAACTGGTAGTTTTACGCAGAGATAAGTATGATCGTACATAATTTAGGATGGTTAGACTTACGATTTTTAACTTCATGATGAGTTGGCTGGGGTAGTAAATGCATTTTTAGCTTACATTTTCCACTTATGACAGATTTATTGGGATGTAACCCCATCATAAATCAAGGAGCATCTGTACAAACTATACCTCCTTATTTTTAGGTTCAGTTACCCCAGTCAACAGCAGTCTGAACATATTAAATGGAAATTCCAGAAATAAACAATTAGCAAGTTTTAAATTGCATGCTGTTCTGAGTAGCATGATAAAATCTTGAGCCAACCAGTTCCTTCCAGAATGGGAGGTGAATCATTTCTTTGTCCAGAATATTCCTCTATATACTCCTGCTGCCCTTTAGTTACTTGGTAGCCCTCTGGGTTATCAGATCGGCTGTGGTGGTACATCACAGTGCTTGTGTTCAAGTAACTCTTATTTTACTTACTAATGGCCCCAAAGTAAGAGAGTAATGGCGCTGGCAATTTGGATCTGCCAACAGTAAGTCATAAAGTGCTTCTTTGAAGTAAAATGGTGAAAGTTCTTAAGGAAAGATTTAACGGGGAAAAAAAACCAGCATATGCTGAGGTTGCTAAGATCTACGGAAAGAACAAATCTTCTGTCAGTGAAATTGTGAAGAAAAAGAAATTCGTGCATCTGAGGTTTCAGGCATCCACTAGGGGGTCTTGGGACATCGTCCCTGAGGACAAGGCTGCTTGGGAGTGATACTACTTAAATTAAAAATCACTGGCTATGTGACCTTAGCAAAATTATCTCAACTCTACTCCTTCCTATTCTATGAGCTGAGGATAATAAAGAGTATCTGCTTTATAGGGATTTTGTGTGGATAAAATAGGATAATTTATTGGAAATATTTAGCATTGTGCCTGGCCCATGCCAAGTGCACTGTAAAAGTTGGCTGTACTAATTTTATTCGTAGTATTGTGTTAAGAGCATGGAAGGCAGCATATTATGAGGCTCATTCTTTAGGTCCATTATTGACTGATCATTCATTTGCTAATCTCTCACGTTAGCAGAGCCTCTTCATTTTTATATCACTTCCATTACCTCCAGAGCACTGGCATTCTTGCCCACACACTCTCTCTTGCCTGGTTTTCACAACTCTGTCTCTCCTGGTTTTTGCAGTGGTTCTAACAAGTCACTTAACTACTCTTCTCCAAACCATGTTTGACACCGTTAACAGATTCATGTTTTTAAATTACAACTCTGCTTATCTCTCACCTATGCTATGTTTTATTACACATTTGTTCTACATCAGAACATCCAAATGCTTACTCTAGTATACCTTTCAACCTTATTTTCCATTGCTTTTCTTCATCTTTAGCTAGTTACTGAAACTGAACTATTGTTTTTCATCTTGTATTTACTTGCTTTTGCTCACCTGTTTTGGGTTTTTTTTTTTTTTCTGAAATGTTTTTCCATCTCTGCCCATCTGAGACATGACTCCCAAAACTCCCCTCTCCCACCTGAACACACTCACAAACACATACTACCTACTTGGAAGTAGTGACTGCTTCTGAACTAGTTAGGATTTTCATTTCTCATCTTACACCTTGTATTGTGGGGTTTTTTTGTTTGTTTGTTTTTTTAATCTGCCTTATTTCAGTAAGGATTTGGGGCAACTTACTAATAGGCAGCACAACTAAAAATAAAAAGTGGGAAAATCTGGATAAGTAATATATAGATAAGATGAAGCCAGTGATGGCATTCGTTTCCAGTCCTATCATTAGATCCTGTAAACTTGCCAGAAGTGAGCCATACGTTTGACTCTAAGATTAGAGTAGCCAGCCCAAGATCAAATATATAAGTCACCATCACCAAAGTCATACAATGAATTCAAAATATTTATTTAGGACATGCACAGCAATTCCCAGTTCCAAGGCCAAGACAGCCGCGTCTCCTGTGGACCTATCATATAAATAGTTACTTTGAGTATAGTGATTTCTGTTCATGTGGTTTCCTGCATCCTTTTTCCAGCGTCCTTGATGGGTAGGTTCTGTGTATACCCAAAGTACCTAATAGAACTTTGCAAATAAACATTTGTCCAATTTAAGTTAATATTAAAATGCTTGCCTTTTTGAAACTTTGACCTTTCAGTCTTAGTTCCACCCTTTAGGACTACATCTAAAGTCTAATTCAGAGGTCACAAATTTATGCCTGTAGAGACCAAGGAAGTATTATAAATGTGTGAACAACATAGGTGGCAGTAAAGAATAGTAAGTCTTGTGTGGAATTGGGACAGTGCTGTCCTACAAAAGGAATTAAATTTTTTTTTTCCTTTTTTAAATATTGTGCTAGCCAGATAGCTAGAGTACAAATGATGTGCTGCTGGTGTTATCACTTATACTAATTCCTTTTCTTCTTGCAAAATCATGACCATATTTCACAACATGTTTATTAAGTAGTTTTACCTTTCAAATCATTTTCTACCTCAAGTTATTTGTGCTCATTCTTGTTCTGAGTTAACATTACCCAAAAACATACTGAATTGTTTTAATTAACACTTAAAATCCTGACTTGGGATTATTAGTTTAAGAAAGCCTGCAATATGCTATGCATTATGCTTATTACTTTTATTAATATTATATGATTAACATTATTTTTATTTTAGGGTATAAATGGTTTTGAAGTTCAGAAACAAAACTGTTGCTGGCTACTGGTAACACACAAACCTTGTGTAAAAGATGATGTGGTAAGTTTTAAAAAATAAATTTGGAAATTAACTTTTAAATTCACAATTACTTTAAATATATATGACGAGAATAGAAAATTCAAGGTGATTTGTATGCATAATCATAATGGCTAAAGATTATAAAACCTAGAGAGTTTTCATTACAATGGCTGTTTTTGGGTTGCAGGAGATAAAAGTATGGAAGCATTACTGCTTCTCAACAAAACATATCCTCTTGGACACAGCAGAAAGTTCATGGATATTAGACACATATTAGATCCAAATTTTGAATTTTAATTCTGCCATTCGATAATCCTGTAACCTAGAACAAATTATAGAAAGAGAAGGGGATTAGCACTATCTGTGTGTTACCGGCTTTACTGATATAAATAAATTATACACTGCTTACCTGGATTGCTTTTTGAAAATCTTCATATCTCCGCTGGGTTATTTAGTTTCCTAGGTTAAAGAGTTTAGAGGAATTCATAAGTTTTTATCAGCCAGGCATTTTTCATTCACAGTGAATTAACAAATCCAATTCTGTTTTAATCAAAAAAGATCATTTATTTAACTGGAAAGGACGGATGGAGCTAGAATCAAGTATTGCTAATTCAGATGTTCACATCTTTAGAGTACCCATTCATCTCCCTCTTTGGGCACTGGTTCTCTTTGCAGTATGCCTTTATTCTCTTCTGCTGCAGGTAATCTTCCTTATGGTAGAAATGGTAGCTGCCAGCAACCCCAGTAGAAAAAGACTTCCTTTTCCAACAATTCATGTGTCCATCCCAGAGAAAGACTCAGAGTTGTCCAGCTCAGATGAGTTGCTCTCCCTCTTAGGTCAATTATTTTTGCTAGTCGAATGAAATAATATCTGTGATCAAACATAAGCAAGCACTTGGCACCTCTGGTATTCTAACAGAGTGGTGTGTAACAAGGTCATGATTGACAGCCCCACCAGAATCAATTGGTGTGAGAGAGGGACAATGTTGCCCAGGGATTCTGGGCAGACAATAATAACTGTCTCATATAAATTCTAGCTCAGACATAATATATGTTTCACTGTGCTGCAGGATACACTATAAGATGGATGCAACCAAAGTCAAAAGGCAGATAGGTGCTACCTGGGGAAGAGACTAGTACATGAGTCAAGGTCACTAACAACAAACAACACACATACTAGGCTCAAGTGCTGTAACATTTACTTACAGCAGGAGGAAAGAGACTATACAAAATCTAGCCTTTTACAAGGCATCAGTCCCCATGGCTAGCAGATTGGTTCCACAGCTGATCAGGGCAGAGTGATGGCATATACCTTCCTTTGTGCTGCAGTAGAAGGACCCTGACCCTTGCCCCATAGGGTCTGAAATACAGAAAGCTAGGAACATGCTCAGGGGCTCAGGGGCCATTGGTTCTCATGTAGCTAAGCAGTTCCAAGGAATTTTTTTTTTTTGAGACGGAGTCTTGCCCCATTGCCCAGGCTGGAGTATAATGGCATGATCTTGGCTTGCTGCAACCTCCGTCTCCTGGGTTCAAGTGATTCTCCTGCCTCAGCCTCCCAAGTAACTGGGATTACAGGTGCGTGTCACCATGCCCAGCTAATGCCAAGGGAATTTTATGTGTGCCTGTTACAGAGGGAACAAGAACTTACTGGCTGTGCTCTGAGCTCATTGCATGTGGTACTGTTTGTGAGCTTACTAGTGCTCCTGTTAAACGCTAGTGCTGGGTACAGGATGCTTCTTGGGAACATGGCTTGCAGTGTTTTGTTTGGACCCTTCTCTCACATTACATGTTTCTCTATGTTGATCTAATAAAAAAAATTTAAACACTCCTAATGCAGTTTTTGTATACTACTTTCCCTTATGAAAACTCTGTTATAGAATTAAAGTAGTAGTTTACCTCTTCAAGGTACATTAATAGATGGAAACAATGGTATAGAAGATTTATGGGAGAACTAGAAAGTTTAAGAAAATAAGCAAATAAGTTTTTGGTGAAAAAGAACCAAGAAAGCAGAGGAAAAAGTTATTGCAGAAAAAGTATGCTGAGTGATTCTGAAAATTTCTACGAGAAATTGAAGTTATGTATGGGGTTAAGAGTCACCAAAGGACAGGGCATATACTTGTGTCTGATAGCACTTTTCATTTGTTTAGATTGTAGCTCTGAAGAAAGCAAATGGTGATGCCACTTTGAAATTTGAACCATTTGTTCTACATGTGCAGTGTCGACAATTACAGGATGCACAGATTCTGGTAAAATTTTGTTGTAATTATACTTGAATGTATAGGTATATGGGTAGATGTAATTTTAAACTTTTAACTTTTTATAAATATCAATGAGATTTTATCTTATTAAAGTAGTTATGTATTTATTATTTATCTGTTCAATCTATTTATTTTTAGTATTAGGAAAAAAGAGTACCTAATCATTACTAGGAATATATAAGTCACAAGTTATGGGTCCTTTTTTCTTTCTTAACATTTTTATTTATAAATTTTACTTTAGCGTTCTGTGTTTTGTTTTCATTTGCCAAGTTTTAAGAAAAAATACTGTGGAATTCCATATACAATTAGGTGTTTTAAAGAATATTTCATTTTTCTCATTTAAATGAATATGAGTAAACATCTGTTTAGTCTTCATTCTTCTTTTTATACCTTTTAGATATTTATGTATATAACTAAATTGCATTTTAAGCAACAATAACGTATTGAGTCTCAGTATGTCAAGTACTAGGGGCACAGTGATGAACAAGATTTTAGACTGTCTTGGTTCCTCCCCCAAAGTTAGGAGACAGCAAAAACAAACAAGTGAACAGCCAAATTAAAAAAAAAAAAAAAAAAAAAAAAAAAAAAAAAAAAAAAAAAACTGCAAGTTACAAAATGTTCTAGGAAAGGAAAAAACAACCTGGTAATAACAGTCCAAAAAGCAGCTCACTTGAAGACAGTCTTCTCTAAAAAGGTTTGTTTAAGCTAAGACTTAAAGGAACAGAAAGAGTTAGGCATGCAGCAGGGAAATGAACATTCCAGGAAGATGGAAAAGTATATACAACGTTCCAGTGGGTTTAGAGAGTAGAAAGAAGGTGAGAGAAGGAGGCTGGGGCCAGGTCAGGTAAGGCTTTTTTAGACCAGATTAAAGAGCTCAAATTGCTTTCTGAGTTCTCGGAAAAGTTATCAAAGGGACAGTTTTAAGCAAAGAGTGCTTTCTAGGTTTTGGTTCTGAAAAACTCAGGTCTGCTCCAGCGTAGAGAAAGGAGTGCAGAAAGTGAAAAGAGGTGAGGTAGGAGTAGTTTGTGGTGATCTAAGTGTGAAGTGGTGGTGGGTTGGCCAAAGGTGATAGCAGCAAAGAAGGTGAGAAAGGAATCGATTCTAATTATATTTCAGTGTTTGAATCTACAGACTTGTCAGGCTGCCTGGAAAAGGACAGCCTGAGGGAGGAGAAGAAAGAGGAATCAAGGATAGATAACTACTCAGATGTGACTGGAGCCCCTGGCTGTATGGTAGTAGCCTTTATCTAGATGGGAAGTGCTGAAGTTGAAGGAATGGGAATCAAGAATGTGATTCATATATTAAGTGTGAAATGTCTGTAAGACACCTGTTTTTGTCCGCTAGCATTGCCATAACAAAATAGCACAGACTGGATAGCGTAAGCAACAGAAATTTATTTTTCTCACAATTAGGAGGCTGAAAGTGCAGGATCAAGGTACTGGCAGGGATGGTTCCTCCTGAGGCCTTTGCCCTTGGCTTGCAGGCAGCTGCCTTCTCCCTGTATCCTCTCAAGGCCCTTTTTCTGTGTATGCATGCCACTGATGTCTCTTCTACTTCTTGTAAGGACATCAGTCCTATTGGATCAAGGCTCCATCCTTATGACCTTGTTTAACCCGAGTTACCACCTTAAAGGTCCCATCTCTAAATATAGTTACATTGGAGTTTAGTGCATCCGCATATAAATTTTGAAGCCCTGTAGGCACAATTCAGTCCATAACAACACCACCTAAGTGAAAATTTCAAATAGGCATTTGGGTAGAAGTCTGGAAGGCAGGGCAGCCATCTGGAGTAAGGATAAACATTGAGAAGACGCCAATACACAATTATTATTTTAAGCCATGAGCCTAGATAAAATCATCTGTGCAGAAAGTACAAAAGATAAAGGGAAAAGGGCCTGAGAAACACGAGCATTTAGAGATATTCTCCAAAACATGGTGTTTAATCATTCAGTGGCTCGTGGCTTCAGTCTCTGCTCTAACCCTGACCTTTTATCTAACCTTGTTTCAGTCTCATTTTGCCACTCCACATCCCTGATGCGTCTCCAGACTTGAAGTCTCCTGTTTCTACATTCATGTTCTGTTTTCTGTGGTAATCCTGATTGAGCCCAGCCATGCTCTTCTCTGGGCCTAAGCCTCTATGCAAGTCTACCATTTCAGGGAGCTAACTGAGAAATTCACTCGTTCACAGCCTCTTTTTGAGCACATACAGACCGAGTGTCAGGCAATCTGCTAAGTATTAGGGAAAAGTAGAAAAAGACAGGTAAATATCCCTCTCCTAAGGAGCTTACATTTGTATTCTAGGGGACAGAGGCAGACAATAAGTATGCAAATAAACATAATTTCTCACTGTGAGACATGCTATAAAGGAGATGAGGAGAGCACTCCACTAGAGAGTGAGGGGAGAGCTGCGTTTAAAGAGGGTGGTTAACGAAAGCCTTTAAGGTTGCACTGAGCGGAGATTGCGCCATTGTACTCCAGCCTGGGAGACAAGAGTGAAACTCCATCTCAAAAACAAAACAAAAAAGAAGACCTTTTTTAGGCAGTAGCATTGAATAGAAACAGGATGAATGACATGAAACCCACCAGGGAAAGCATAGTCCTGATAGAAGAACAGCAAAAATAAAGAATTTGATGCAGGAAAGGGTTTGGAGTATTCAAAGAACAGAAGGGAAGCCACTCAAGGCTAGAGAAAATAGCAAGAGGGTGGAACAAATAGAACCACATTAGTCATGGTTTAGAGCTTGGATTCTGTCGCTGGCTAGTCTGCAAGAATGGTTTGAAGGGGTGAGAGTGAAAGCAGAGACTAATTGGGAGACTCCTCCAGAAGTTAAGGAGAGAGGTGACAGAGACTTGAAGAAGAGTGGGCAGTGGATGTGGCAAGAGCTGGATGAATTTGAGGTATGTTGTAGAGGTAGTATCAATAGGAATTGGGTATAGGGAAGGAAGAAGTAGAAAGCATCAGGGCTGTCTAGGTTTGGAGCTTGAACAGCTAGATGGCTGATGGTGTCATTTACTGAAATTAGACTGGATGTGAGAAAAATAGATTTATATTAGGGAAAGTCAGTTTCAGGGTAGAGGTCTGAACTGGAAATGGGATTCATCTATATATATATGATATTTAAACCAGGGAATCTCAAAAGGAGAGCATGTACTTAGAGCAAGGTTTCTCAGCCATGACACTATTGGCATTCTAGGTGAAATAATTATTTGTGTGGGGCTGTTCTGTTCAATGGAGAATGTTTGCGCTGCATCCCTGGCCTCTACCCACTATTTGCTGGAGATCCCCCTTCCTCTTCTTTTGAGTTTTGACAACTTAACAACCAAAAATGTCTTCAGACATTGCCAGATGGCCCCTTGGGTTCGAAATGATTCTTGCTTAAGAACTCCTGAGCTAGAGAAAAGAAGGGACCCTTATCCGCTCCTCAGGACTCTCTGACATTTAGAGAGTGATAAAACAACTTACAAAATCACCCCAATCAGATCAGAATTTTTGTGCTTTCTATACTTTTCTCATATCATTTCAACAAAGTTTTTTAAGCAATAGAAGGGATACTGAGAAACATTTTACTCATTTTAAAAAGATTTTATTTATTTTTATACAACATAATTAGAAGAATGATTATTTTTGGTTACATTCTGCTTTATGGAAGCAATCACTAGCCAAATGTCGCTGTTTGTTATTGAAGTCTACTTATACTCTCTCAATGACACTTCCATAGTTTGTATTTCAATATTTTCCCTGATGTTAGGAGTTTGATAAAAATCATTTTTAAGCATAGTCCATATTGGCTAGCCAAAAAAAAAGAAAAAATTGGTTTTAGGGTTATATATGTTTCGGTAGTTTGTGGAGTCAAACAGATAATGTGATTAGCCACAGTATCAAAATTTAACAAGTTTTATTTTCTTAACAGCATTCCGTAGCAATAGATTCTGGTTTCAGGAACTCTGGCATAACAGTGGGAAAGAGAGGAAAAACCATGTTGGTAAGACACATTTTGTCAAAGAACAATTTTTACAGTGTAAAGTGATCCAGAGATTGCATAACCTAATTAGACTCCTGCCTTTAGTGTCTCCTTACTCAAATCTTCTTTCCGTTCTCTTATTCATAAACCTTTAGTGACTTACTCCTTCCTACAGGGCGAAGTTCAGAGTCTAGATTTGCATTTGAGGTCTTATTTTATAATATTCTTTTCCACTTACCTTTAACCTGATTCTTAACTCTGCCCTCCTTATCCTAAGTAGGCAAGGCCCAAAAGCACTGTGACATCATGGAAAGAGTCACAGAGGGAGTTCAAAGTCCCCTGTACTGATCCTGCTGGATCACAGCTCTACCATGTGAACTTGGGCCAGCTTCTCCATTCCTCAGGGTCTGAATTTTCTCAGTAGTATCAGTGGTCCAGCAAACTACTGTCCTAGGGCCACATTCAGCCCACATGGGGCCAGATTCCACTATACTCACTTGATTCATTACTGTCTGAGGTTGCTTTTGTGAGACAATGGCAAAATTTCATAGTTGTACCATACTGTACAGCTTGCAGTGGTTACTGTCTGTCCCTTTAGAGCAGAGTTTTCCAACCTTTTGACTAGATGATCTTAAAAGACTTGCATCCTTTTTGAGTCCTCTGGTCAAGCTAGCCCTTAAATATTTTGCCCTATTGTGATCTGTGGTATTTACAGTTTGGCATGGCTTGTATTGTTTGTTTTTGAACTATTTGAGATTACCCTCCTTCTACCTTCCTATATTCTATTTTCTATCTCTCTTTAACAATAACCTATTTCCCAAATAGCAGTGGATTACAAAAGAGGACACCCATAAAGCATAGCTAAATAGAAAATTAAAAAAAGAAAAAAAACCTCAGGGCCTCCAAATGTTTTCCTGATATTCAAAGTCTTAACCAGACTATTTTGCATCTACCTGTTTATGTTTACCACTCATGTACTTAATGCTCCAGCCGTATTAGTTGTTTTCCAAGAGTTTCATGTTCTTTCATGTCTCTCTGCCCACAGATAAGTTGTTCCTCTGGCCGGAGTTCTCCCCACCTGCTATTTTTTTTGTTGAGACAGTGTTTCTCTCTTGTTGCCCAGGAGGTAGTGCAGTGGCACGATCTTGGCTCAGTGCAACCTCCGCCTCCCGGGTTCAAGTGATTTTCCTGCTTCAGCCTCCCAAGTATTTGGGATTACAGGCCCTTGCCACCATGCCCAGCTAGTTTTTGTATTTTTAGTAGAGATGGGGTTTTACCATGTTGGCAGGGCTGGTCTCAAACTCCTGACCTCAGGTGATCCACCAGCGTCAGCCTCTCTTAATTTTTATGTCTGGTGAAATTGCACTCATTTTTTAAAATCCCAATTCAATTGCTGCTTTTCCCATAAAGCTGAGTCCTTAGACTCAGTTAGTTGCTTCTCTTCAACATTTTCTTGGCATTATGTGTGTGTGTGTATGTGTGTGTGTGTGCATGTCGCGCACACGCGCATGTGTGTTTCTTCCGTCTCTGAAAGACAATGTATAGAATGCCTTTCTTTAGAAATGACTGTAGATGATGGGAAAATTCTGTTTAATCTCCTTTGATTCAACTGTGTTCAGCTAAATTATATCAAAGCACAAACCTAATGCTGTAATGGAACTAAAGTATGTTCAAACACAGCCCAGACTGGGACTTTTCTTTAGTTACTTTCAGTGTCTCTGGTATCTAAGTCTTCATATCTAAATTGTTTTTACCTTATAGGCTGTCCGGAGTACACATGGCTTAGAAGTTCCATTAATTCATAAGGGAAAACTGATGGTGACAGAGGAATATATTGACTTCCTGTTAAATGTGGCAAATCAAAAAATGGAGGAAAACAAGAAAAGAATCGAGAGGTATATTATATTTCCATATCATTCGTACATGCCTAGGTCATCCTTGAAAACATTAATGCATGCCATCTTCAGTTTATAATGCCAACTGCTTATCCATTTGTAGATATTTTTAAAATCTATTTTATTATCATCAGTAATAAAAAAGATGATCAAAGTAATAGATGAGTCAGGCTGCCATGGGCACTAAATGGAGCATAACGGAGAGTCTCTCTGGGGAATGGGTAGGACACATGATCACCAGAAACCAAAAGAAAGGGGAGAAACATAACCATTTAGGAAAGACAGCCCAGCAGCCACAGGAGCTGTAACTGATCAAGTTGAAGGCAGCCAGGGAAGAGGTGCACACTGTCCCTAGATCTATCAGAGAATACCTAGACTCACCTGAGGATAACAGCCTGGTCAAATTTTTTTGTCTGATTAATATTTCACATTTCTGGCTTAGTTTTTTGTCTGATTAATATTTCACATCTCTAGTTTAATACCAAATTCTTGTCATGGATTAGATCTAGAATTGCCATAACTTTCTAAGTAGGAAGGTGCTTTCAGTTCACATCTCCATACTTCTTTTGTTCTTCAGCTTCACCTCCTGGCAAAGGAAACTCTTATATTACTTTCTTTTACAACTTTTTTCTTAACTTTTTTACATATAAAGAATAAAGTTTATATATGAAGTGGTAAATATTATGCTGTCTTTCATATATGAAAGTAATGCCACTGACCTACCATCAGCAAGATGCAGTTTTGAGTTATTCAAGGAGTAATAGCCAATTTGTCATTTATAATTTCCTTTTTTTCTTCTCCCAGCCCTTTTGGCTACCTCGCATTCAGTCAATCACCACCTAAATATCTCTTCAGTCATTCTGTCTCCATCCATACTGCTTCTTTCCTCATTCACGACCATTGCAATAGCCTCGTTCACTGGTCTCATACAGGATGCTTCTTGTATGCCTCTCTGCTAAGCCATTCTTTATCAAATCATGTTTGTAAAGTGCAAAAGATTCCTATTGCTTAACTTGCCTGTTTACATTCTTTAATACTTAGAACTTTTCTTGAAGCAGTTAAGGCCAGAAGTGCTAGTGGTGGCAGTGTAAAAAGGTGAAATGAGGTAGAAATAGGCCACAAAGGCAGAACTGGGTTAAAATCCTGAGTTACTCAATCTGGGTTCTGAGTTACTCAGTCTGGTTCCACAAAATGGCTCAACTTTCTGGACTTCAGTTTTCTTATCTCTAACTTCTGGAAAATGCCTATCTTAAAGAATAATTGCTATATGTATTAGATATGTATAATGACTGCTCTGACTGTGTTATGTTTTGGACTCTCAGGACAAGATAGCCCTTCTCCTTCTTCATTGATTCATAGAGAATAAACTTATAACTATAAAAATACTTGCCATCCAGGCTTTCTCAGCTAGGGTTCCTCATTTGAACCACAGAATTCACAAAATTATTTGAGTGACTATTTTCTGAATTATCTCACGGATTTTATGTAACATGTACCATTTTAGATACATTGGAGAAAAGTTAATTCATTACTTACAATGGATGTCTTAGGGTACTAGAGCTTAATTTGCTAGCCACACGCTGGTTGAGAAAAACTGACCACAAAAATCTGGCCACAGAATGCTCTGAGCAAGTATTCTAACTAAAATAAAATTTTAAATAAGCAGCTTCCTACTCCACCAGACTATAGACTACTATACGTTAAGTATTTACTGGTACCATTCCATAAGTTTACCACTTACTAAGTTGTAATCCAGTGAGACTGTTTGCTAAAACATAGGAGGTAGCAAATTAGTTTTCTCTATTTCCTTATGTGAATTTTAACAAGCTTATAAATATAGCCCAAGATCAACTAACTATACACCTGGTGGAGTTAATTGAGCTACGTTCACCAACTATAAAATCAAATTATGCTTAAATCCATTGACTCAAAAATATGTTTTGAGATTATAATGTGCATGCTGCCATCAAGAGCCATGCTTATTATATAAAATCAGGGAAAAATTAAAGAAGGGTAAAAATGTCTTAAGATACTGATTAGAAAATTACATGTGAATTCAGAAAGTGAGAACAAATTAAGGAGCTCCTTTGGGAACAGCTGTATGTTCAACCAAATGCAGAGAAAGTGTTACTCTTCTGATGTTGAAAAGAGAAAAAATAAATACTGGAGGTGATGAGTTATGCAATCAGACATTCATTAAGTACTAAGATTGGTTTGTCATAGGACCAAAGTTTCACAATTCAAGTATCTATAATAGAATTTCCAAAACTCAAAAAAATCCTAAAGAAACATTTCAGCAGTAAGAAATGTTCTGGAAATGTGAAAATTAAAGAGATAACGTATTTTTAATAGAAAAAGGCCTTGTTCATGAGAAACAATTCCTAAGCCCTCTTCTTAGTGGGAAGAGACTTATTCATTGGGTTCCTGTTGTTTCTAGAGTTGGGCAAGACAAGGCCTTCAAGCAGCAACCTGCTTTATAAACAACTAAGTTGGAGACTAGAGAGACAGGGACTGACACCAGATGGAGGAAGATATTTCATACATAACGATGTAGAGAAATTTGGATAGCTATTGACTAACTACAAGAGGAAGGCTATCTTTGTATTTATTAATAAGCAGTCAGCACATGGGCCAAATGAAACCACCATTTGACTATGAGTAGCATACAATTAGCCATGTTCTTTTCACCCACTGTGTAGTGAGAAAATATTAAATAAAATATACAATAAAGTGGCAGAATATATTGTCATATAATACTGTTGATAAAGCAAATCTGGAAGAAAAGTAATTGAGTTCACTTTCAATCATTAATTTTTTTCTCTTTTTTGTGATAAAACATATGTAATAGGAAATTTACCATTTTAACCTGTGGCATTAAGTACATTGACATTGTCAAGCAACTGTTGCCACATTCCATCTCCAGAACATTTTCATTATCACAAACTAAACCTCTATACCCATTAAACACTAATTCTCCATTCTTCATCCTCCAATCCCCTGGTCACCACTATTCTATTTTCTCTCTCTATGAATTTCTCTATTATAGGTAATTCATCTAAGTGGGATCATTCAATATGTACCCTCTAGTATCTGGTCTGTTTTACTTAGTTAATGCAGGACTCATCCATGCGGTAATGCGTATCAGAATTTTAGTTCTCTTTAAGACAGAGTAATATTCCATTGTATTTATAGACTGTTTTGTTCTTCATTCATCTGTCAATGGTTAGTTGTCTTTCCCTTTTGGCTATTGTAAATAATGCTGCTCTGAACATTATTGCACAAGTATCTGAGTCACTGCTTTCAGTTATGTTGTATATATACTCAGAAGTGGTGTAGTGTAATCAAAGAAAGCTTCATGGAAGAAGTCACTGAGCAGGGCCTAAAGTGCAGGTAGGATTTTGATATGAAGAGCTCTGCAGAAGGGAAAAATAGCAAGATAGGTTAAAAAAAGAACAGCATGAACAAAGAAAAAAGAGATAGTGATATGATTTGGCTTTGTCCCCACCCAAATCTCATCATGAATTCCCATGTGTTGTGAGAGGGAGCTGGTGGGAGGTAACTGAATCATGGGAGCAGGTCTTTCCTGTGCTATTCTTGTGATAATGAACAAGTCTCATAAGATCTGATGGTTTTAAAAATGGGAGTCCCCCTGCACAAGCTGTCTTCACTTGGCTGCTGCCATGTGCGACATGCCTTTCACCATCCACTATGATTGTGAGGCCTCCCAGCCACATGGTATTATCAGTTCATTAAATCTCTTTTCTTTTATAAATTGCCCACTCTCAGGTATGTCTTTATCAGCAGCATAAAAATGAACTAATACACTAAACTGGTACCAGTAGACTGGGGCACTGCTGAAAACATACCCAGAAATGTGGAAGCAACTTTGGAACTGGGTAATAGGCAGAGGTTGGAACAGTTTGGAGGGCTCAGAAGAAGACAGGAAAATGGGGGACAGTTCGGAACTTTCTAGATACTTGATGAATGGCTTCGACAAAAATGCTGATAATGATATGGACGAGGAAATCCAGGCTGAGGTGGTCTCAGATGGAGATGAGGAACTTGTTGGGAACTGGAGCAAAGTGACTCTTGCTGTGTTTTAGCAAAGAGACTGGCAGCATTTTGCCCCTGCCCTAGAGATTTGTGAAACTTTGACCTTGAGAGAGATGATTTAGGGTATCTGGCAGAAGAAATTTCTAAGCAGCAAAGCATTCAAGAGGTGACTTGGGTACTGTTAAAGGCATACAGTTTTATAAAGGAAGCAGAACATAAAAGTTTGGAAAACTTGCAGCCTGACAATGTGATAGAAAAGAAAATCCCGTTTTCTGGGGAGAAATTCAAGCCAGCTGCATAAATTTGCATAAGTAACAAGGAGCCTAATGTTAATCACTAAGGCAATGGGGAAGATCTCTCCAGGGTATGTCAGAGGTCTTCACAGCAGCCCCTCCCATCACAGGCCCAGAGGCCTAGGAGAAAAAGTGGTTTTGTGGGCCAGGCCCAGGGTCCCCATACTGTGCGCAGCCTAGGAATTTGGCACCTTGCATCCTTGGTGCCTTTCATCCATGGCTGAAAGGGGCCAACGTAGAGCTTGGCCTGTGACTTCAGAGGGTGCAAGCCCCAAACCTTGGCAGCTTCCATGTGGTGTGAGCCTGTGAGTGCACAGAAGTCAAGAACTGGCATTTGGGACCTCCACCTGGATTTCAGAAGATGTATGGAAACACCTAGATGCCCAGGGAGAAGTTTGCTGCAGGGGCAGGGCCCTAATGGAGAACCTCTGCTAGGACAGTACAGAAAGGAAATGTGGGATCAGAGCCCCCATACAGAGTCCCTACCCAGGCATTGCCTAGTGTGAAAAGAGGGCTATAGACCCCATAATGATAGTTCCACTGACAGCTAGTACCATGCACCTGGAAAAGCCACAGACACTCAACACCAGCCTGTGAAGGCAGCTGGGAGAGAAACTGTACCCTGCAAAGCCACAGGGGCTGAGCTGCCCAAGA